GACTAAAAATTGAAGATAATTGAAAGAGAATAGTTTTTTCTCCCTTTTTTCATTTTCATTGCAATTTAATTTGAATTTATTTTTTCTTCCCTTACTTATCATTTCGTTTCATTGATGAGTAACTATTAATAGCAATGAAAATGTTGATCTTTAAATGTTGAATATTTGGGAATATTTTTCTGCTTCTTTTTGCTTCTCAATATTAGCTTTGCTATATTTTTATTTTCTTAGTTGTTTGCATTTATTAAATACAAATTCCCTTTGCAAGTTGACTTTGAATTGAAACGAAGAAATTGAGTAAAACTTGTATTCATTGTTATGCATACTTGGCATTTCATGTTATTCAACAACTAAATCTATGGAAGGAGAACAAATTTTGAAATGAAATAAAAATAGATAAGAATGAAGGGGAAAAAGAAAAAGAAAAATAGTATATTTTATCAATTTTCCTTTGAGATATTCAATTTTTCGCTGGAAACATCTTTATTCTCATCTCTCTATTTCAACTGAACAAACGATTTTACTTGGATAAATGATTGGAAAGTCAAAAATGGTTATCTTGTGTTTACTCATTTGATTACCTTGAATTTAAAACCTTTTTCTTGTTATTTAATCATTTATAACAAGGTAACCTGAAATTATAAATAATAATTGCTCGAAAGCAATGCGGTAAAAATCTCAATCATCAATGCATGAATAAACATGAACCCACTATCTTTGAGTAAATCGTCGGGACGAAACGTCTTGTGGACAAAATGAGACGGTAAAAAGTCAAGCTATTTGACTTTTTTGAAGATTTTGATTTGGGCAAAAATGAAACATTTTCGATCAGCGCTATTGAAATTCTGGCTTTGCGATTTTCTATTTCTGGGCATTGCAGTATCTTTACCGATGTTAAACGACTAATACTTAGCTTGTGATTTACCTAGAGACTCAAGAATATTTTCATGCAAATTTCGCAAATACTTATTTGTCATATTTCAAGATCAAGGTCATCCAAGGCCCATCCATTACTCATATTTCAGTAAAAAACAATGTTTAACACCGCCACTGTAATTTCATCAAAAACGAACACTTGAAGTGGCTTTTGTTGGTATTAATTCTAGCTTTCGTATAATAATAATCGATGAAAGAATAGTCTTGAGTCTTCTGCTGATGGATGCTTGAATGTCAATAAGCTTTTTAATAACTTTCACATTTCGACAACCTTATGTTACCCAAAACGTTTCTAGAAAATGACCTTAATAAATTGTTTTTTCATGCACTCTCAAGCCACTACATGTATCTTAACATAACCTGTGCGGACGTATTTTGGTACAAGCCATTTCATCTTTTTTCTCAGAAATTATAGGTTTAATAGATTCGAAATTTTCATGAAAGGAACATGAGGGGAATATCTCTATTCAAATCGTTTCAGAATAATAGCTCGATTAATTCCTTAGATTTTCTCATTAATTGATTGCTTTTCAAACCTCACAAATGTTTCAGTTTTGAATGAACTTTTTCATGCGTTATTTTATAAATCATTCAACTCTTATTGTGTCCATGAACTTCTTTCTGTTTAAACATTTTGTGATCACCTGAGGTCCAAAGTATATGCTGGTAATTTTTGGGACTTGAAACACATCACAATCAATTAATACAGACAAATTAGTCCAGTTACTCTTTGAAAAAATGTGTAAAGCTCAAATTCCGAAAGATTATGAGAAACGTAGGATAAAAAGTTAATCTTGCCTTTGAGGTTGGATTAAAGAACTCATACAAAAAAGACTAATTTTAAGCCTTCTAATGATGTATATAATGTTTAAAAATTGCTATCGCTTAATTGGGAAATTTGCTTTTAACAGTTTGTACTCTAATATGTCTGCACAGGTTAGTTGATTGTTTTTTCATGAGCTCACTCCGTCGTGACCGCCAAAAACTCAGTTTTCTTGATTCTGCTCGATTATATTATAATATGTTACATAAGTAAACAGAATTTTTCAATCGAGGTCACATATTGATCTCACTGTTGTCTATGCATAGCTTAGTTACCATAGCTACATAATATAAAGTATATAAGTTTTAGCTACTTTGGTTGATTTTTTGTGCGTGACAGATCACGATCAAACCAGCCCAATACAGCTCAGCGAGTGGATTCGATGAAAAGAATAGGTTATGGACTCAAGAATTGACCATGTAACTGGTTCTTGTGAACGATAACAGATGCCTCAGGTCCTGAACAATAAATTTACTCCATAGAAGATCTTGGTTTTGTACCAAAAGAGATTTTGCTGAGTTGAATTGAGGTTGCTTTCATAAATTCGACTATACGATAATTCATGACCTTAAGTGCAAGGTCATCGCATATCAACGGACAATTTTAATGGTGACCTTAACTACAATGTCCAACCTTTGCAATGATACCATGCAATCCATATTTATGGACCAACTTGCCTCGCAAAAGCTCTCAAGAACATGAGTTTTACAAAAGTTCACTAATGCCGATACAACGTTTTTTCTTAAGGCCGAACAAATCATGGCTTCAGTCAAAAGTCAGGTCATAAAATTGCCACCTACCCATCCTATCCTTCAGATACATTCTCCAGCTATATTTTTTTCTATTCAAATTTGAAATGGTTCCAGCAGAAGAGAGAAGAAAATCCTAAGAGTAGAAAATAGGAACCGAAAAGCTGCTTTTCGGCTCGAAGTCCACTGATCTATACTTGATTGACTCAGACCGCTATCCTTTCAGATTATAAGCCTAAGTATATGGGCGAAGATATCAACTTGCATAGTTACCAAGAAAGACCTTCAGAACCTACTTAGGGCAAGGACTTTTTGATACCACTAATATGTTACATAAGTAAACAGAATTTTTCAAAAGTTGAAAGTTTATTTTAAAGCAATCTATCAGAAACTAGTCAGTAAAAGAGATTTATCTTGCATTTTGATTAAGCAAGTTTCTATTCTGAAGAAATAGGAATAGACTTGAAAATGTTGCATTTATTTTCACCGTCTTATCAAGTTATTCATCATTTTGTATCATGAATTAAGAGTGAGTTTAATGTGAATGAAAAGATGATCATTGAAAACATTTGAGTGACCAAATAATAATTTCCTCATTCTTTTCATTCAACAATGTTTAACTCTTTTCATCGTCAACTATTGTTGACTCAATAGTAAGACAATCAGTAACAATATCGCATTTCATTGGCAAGTAAACAATGGAAAGGAAAGAAAGAAAGACGAAAATTTTCTCACAATTTGGAAACAAAACTAGCAAATCAATTGTTTGTATTGATGATGATAATGATGATGAGAAAGAGGAAAAAGGAAAAAGGAAGAAGAAGGAGAAAAGAGAAAAGAATAGTGTTTGAAGAGAAAAAATAGAAAGATATTGATGTTAAATTGGGCAAATGAAGAGAAGACAAAATCAACAGAATTGCAAGAACCATAAGTTAAGATTGAGTTGATATGTGTGTTGATAAAGTGAGTATAAATACAAACCACTCCAGGCCAATTATCTGGTTATCCCGATTGATATTGAACTCATGAGATTATTATTATCATCATTATTATTGTTCTCATGTTGAGGTTGGATGTTATTAGCTTCTTGTTGGGATCAACTTTGTTTTTACACTTGTTTGGTTGCATGGTAAATACCACAAAATAGCTAACAATATGTAATGTTATTGAACAGTAAATATTGAACACTAAAATTGATACTAATTTACTGTTTTATTGTTAACCTTTCTTTGCTTTTTTATGTTTCCTCTTTAAATGTTCAAATGTTCACCTTAATCTAACCTCAATCGCTTCTCATCTCAACTAACGATGAAAAAGTGTGAAAATTGAAAAGATTTATGTCGAGTCGAAAAGCAAACAGAAACTTTACTAACTACCGAAGATTGAAGAAAGGACAATGAAAGATTCGGCCTGTTTTTGAGAGACAAATACTCGATTCCAAAACGAATCTCTAAACCTTACAGAAATTTGAGACCTAAGATCGAGTAATGATATTTTTTTAGTTTGAGGACTTTATGGTTTATTGTTGGATTACTAGTAAAGACTTTGACTCTTGAGTTAAGAGGCAAGACTTGATATACTTTTGCAATTAAAGGATTTCTCTGATCGACAGTTTTCTATGAAATCGCTTCAAAACTTCAAACTTTGATTGTATTCTGTCGAGTTTTAGAACCAGATTTTATTTTAGTTTTAGTTTTTCTTTAAGAGTCTGTTTCTTTCAAAGCTAAAATAAATTTTCGTGAAAATTTTGCGATCAGTCCTGATTGAGAGTCTGCTTTTAAAGTTGAATTTCATTCTAAACTATTACACCAAGTTATTATTTAAAACTATTCTAAGTTCGCAGGGTGTTTTGAAGACGAACTTTGAAAAGTTCGAAGGTCCTCCAATGATTTTTTAGAAGAGTAAATTTTCTGTTTTCACGATTCTTTGGATAGTTTTCTTGGGGTTGAGCGAATTAAAATAGTTTCTAATGTTTCTCTGTCGTTTATTTGAACGAACCTAACACTACACTATTCGATCATTTGTTGATTTCAAAAATTTAAGTTGAACTTTATCGATTGTTTGTTTTCCGTTTGCTCTTTTACTGTCATCCGTGTTTGCACTGCAGTATAATGAGTTGTTCAGATTTTTCTTGATTCAATTTCCTTCTCATGGTAAATCAAGGGAAACTTATTAACTCAAAACTCATTAAACTGTAAGCCCTGTGAAAATGAATAAATATTTAATTAGCTTTAATTACCTATAGCTTTGAATGGTTTTTAATGCGTTTTTACTTTTCCTCTCTTATTTGCTTTTTGACATTTCAAACACAACTTTTCAATTTTCAAAGTTTTACTTGAAAACCTTTTTTTTGCCAACCTGCTTCTTTCACTTTCCGGGTAAATGTTTACTCAAGTTCAAGTTAATTGATGATGCTTTTTGTTTGAAAGAGTAATCAATTTTCTGATTGATTTATCAACAGATTAATTGTAATTGAGTTGCCTCGTTCTTACCTGAACTGAGGGATGGGATAGGCTTGAGCAACACAACACAGTTTAGCGCGGGTTGCTTGGCGCACAGTCACCAATGAGTTGCTGTTGTAAGTGATACGTGGAGCCATGGGACCAGTTGACTCTGCAAGTGTTCATCATATTGAATGAAGAGAGGAATTACTTTCAAGGTTCAAAGTATTACTTTATAGATTGACTCTGATTCGACCCTCATGAAATTAGAGACTAAACTCTTTAATTACACTTGGGTTGACAAGATTAATAACTATTTTGTTTAGATCATGAAGCGTCTCAATATCTTTAATTCATCCAGAAAAATTCAACCTCAACATCTAAACAGCTAAAGATCCTAAAGAATTTGAAGATGTTTCGATTCCAGCGAATTCAGAACGAATCAAAATTTCAAAGGCATTGATAACGAAAACATCATGAACTTGAATTTTATAAGATTGATGGGCAACTGGGGAGAAAAAGGAAATATTGTTTTCTTTGCGTTTCAAATGTTTATCAATCTAATGCTAATGCCATGTTGAACACTAATCTGTTTCTGTCGTGAAAGAGGAATAGATTGAAACTTCATTTCAAGATTACAATAAAAATGAATTTTTGGCTAAATTTTTAGTGCAATGTCAAGTTGAATCATTTGAAAGTTGCAAACTAAATGAGTAAAATGTTTTCGACTCTTACCTTGAAAATTTGATATCCAATTGCCGTGATTACGATTCGATTGATCAAATGCTAAGCAAGTTGCTATCAAAGTTGATCGCAATGCTAAATACACAATAAACTTTACACTATCCATTTTTGTCTTCAGTTGATTGTTGAACAAACTTTTTATTTTCTGCTCAACTCGATGTTGGACCAATTTAACTTTTGCCGGCAAGCGTTAGTCTTTAGTTTCAACATTGACACAGTAATCACTTGGACACTTTGCCGTTTCACTCTATTATACTTTTGATATTTCATGCATATCTATACAGTTCAACATTTGAAAACTTTTTTTCTCTGCTTTTCTTCTAGTTTTGCATTCTTATTGAAATAATCATTGTTTTTAGTTGAGTTTTGATCATTTTCGAAGCAATAAGTAAACATTTTTCATTCTTGATAAAGTTTTTCCATAAGCTTCAAGCACTTAACTGGATCACATTGAAACTTTTTCTCCATTCAACTCAAGTTGACTGCATTTTCTTGTTATCAAGCTGAATCATGAAATTTTCGTATTCTTTGGCTCTGCCCAGAATCTGGAACTCATCTTATTCAACTGACATCTGATGGAATGTGAAGGCATCAATTTGCTAGAAATGAGTCGATCAATAATCAAGCTCGTATTTGTGAAAATAGATGGAGCCTTAGGATGCTTGAAGAGGTGAGTTTCGATAACATACAGTTCGGTTGGATCAACCGGCGTACTGCTGCATATTCGGGAACAGGAGGTCTTCCATATGATGAATTTTTCAGAGCTCTAGATCATGGATACATGTATTACGTGGGCCGAAACATAGGAAATCCTATGATGCTATACTTCATTACTTCATGCTATCACTTCATGTACGACGTTCATAACTTATTTTGGCCAAAAGATATGAGTGTTTGCAGATCGTTATGTTGATCAAATTGGTTTTAGAAAAATTCATTTGTCTTTCCAATGGTGTAAGATTTCAATTTCTGCAAACACCAACCAATCTGAAAATTTTTGCATCGAATAAAATGACCTCCAAATTTCAGCAAGAGTTCGAATAACAAAATTACCTTGAAAACCATAATCCGCGATTCTTCACCCGTCAAAAATACACAATATAGATTTAGTGCCAGTAGTTGTACAGGTTTGGATGTTATAACTGCAAACAGTCAACGTTCTTTTGCTCTTGCCTCGAATTACAGATGAAGTTGGTGAACTTTTCTGTTTTGTATATTATTGATGCGCTATTAATTAGCTAATTTCTTCATTTTCACTGTACCATGATTTATTGACGAATACATAATGAGTTTTAAATTATTTAATTACTTGCAATCGAATTAAAATGTAACAATTTGCTCTGAATTTGAAAGCTTAGTTCAGAATATCAACTCACCTTAGTGAAAAATTGCAATCATGACATTAAGTTTGTCATGGATTGAGTAAATCAATTCGGGATAGCAAAGTGATAAACGAGATTTATAAACTATGACTGCTCATTATCTATTATTAAATGGTGCAATGCGACTAATATAAAGGGTGACAACAATAAGACTGTTTGAGAGACAAAAGCCTAATAAAAGCTATTGGTTATAGATAAACATGTGAATAGATAACAATAAATGGTCAACACCATCTTCCAGCAACAATATTAAACATTTTTCAATCAAATATATCGATTTAAATTAAATTAAATTTACTAAATTAAGTCAAGTCAGAAAAATGACCTCCATCATTTTCTCGGCATAGGTCAATTCGTTTTACGAAATTATTAATTACATTTACAAAAACATTCGAATCTATTTTAGCAATTTCATCAATTATGCTTTTTTTCAATTGATTAACTGTTTTGGGTCGAGCTCGCTTCACTTTCTCGTCGAGATAACCCCAAAGGTAAAAATCAAGAGGACTCAAATCCGGTGAACTCGGAGGCCATTCAATAGCTGACCTTCGACTGATTATCCTGTCACCAAAATATACTTTCAAAAGTTCCAATGAGTAATCGGTACAATGGGGCGTGGCCCCGTCTTGCTGGTACCAGAAAGTATCTGGCCCACCAAAATTCTGGAGAGCTGGGATAAATTCCAGATCAAACCTTCTTTGATAATTAAATTGGTCAACATTTGAATTAAAAAAAATGGACCGATCACTCCTAAGGAAGATAGTGCACACCAAACACGGACACTCGGCGAATGTGCGACTCTCTCATTAAAAAATGTTGGCTTTCAGTGCACCACCTACGATTGTTTTGATGGTTTTCTTTCCGGGACAAGCAAAAAATCTTCTCATCAGAAAACCAGACTCGATGAGGATCAATACCAAGTGATGGCCAAAGTCGGCAAAAGTCAAGCCTTTTACATTTTGCCGATGCACTCAACTTTTTGACCTCTTCGGGCTTGTATGGATGAAACCCTTTCTTTTTCAATATTAACTTCACTGTCTCTCTATTTGTGTTCAACTTTAAGGCGATTTGCCGAACAGACTGTGAGTCATCTTCAGTGACGCAATTAATGACCCGATCTGTAAGATCTGTATTTGGAGCGACTCTTCTTTTAGGATTTTCAACTGAGCCAGTTGACCAAAAACGATCCACAATTGATTTAATGAAACGAAAGCTCACTGTTACAGCATATTTCTCTTGAACCTTTTCAATAATTTGATTAAATAAAGCATTCCTTTGGAGGATGGTTAACTCATAACGAAAAAATGTTGCTAAGGTCAAGGTTCTTATTTCTTTATTATACATTTCAGACTATCAAGATCAACAAAAAATTCAAGAAAACTCAGTGAAAAATAGCGAAAACACAGCAAAGAAAAATGTCAACAAAACAAAATAAACAAATTCAATCAAAACATTAACCATGTGTCAATTTAATTTAATTTAAATCGATATATTTGATTGAAAAATGTTTAATATTGTTGCTGGAAGATGGTGTTGACCATTTGTTGTTATCTATTCACATGTTTATCTATAACCAATAGCTTTTATTAAGCTTTTGTCTCTCAAACAGTCTTATTGTTGTCACCCTTTAGTAAGATGATAAAATGCTCCAAAAATGGTTTAATATGCATTTCTAGCAAAATTAAATAATGATTTTGCAAATAAATTGCATCAACGATTGTAAACTGATATCTATGGAAATCATGATTCAATAAGTTCTTCCAAAACTTAACCTTTCAAAGTTGATTTTTTGTTAAGCTCAATCAATGGAATAAAAGATGCAAATTTTTCGTGCCACATTAATCGATATTCATTTGTTTTTTGTTTACATTTAGAGAAATTTCGTAAAAAATGAACGAAAAGTGAAATTTTCAAAATAAATATCCATTGAATGAAGTTGAGGATCAACATTTGAATCAACAGCACATTTTTTGAAACATTTAGTCTTTGATCAGTTTCAAGTATTTTGCTTTCAATGTTACAAAATTGATTCACTGCTTTCATTGAAACCACCCTTTTGCGTTTTATCCAAACACCTCTCCATAGACTCGGGTCTCAACAAGGTACCAAACGAACCAGGTCGGTCATTGACGTACAAACAGTTTCCATTTCCAGGGTCAGAGGAAGGAGATAAATCGGTTGAGATCAAGGCAGGATACATGTGATTTGGTTCATCTTTGGTGTTCAACAAAATCGAGGTTGTTCGAGTTGACTCCTTGCGTGCTCCTGAACCGTTACCGTTTGTCCCGTCATTCCTACCACGATTCAAGTAAGACATAGATTGGGTTAAGATTGAGTTGTAAGTCATAGAGTTAGAAGAATGAAGTCCATCTTGTTGACTTGCCTGGCGAAGCCACCATTTTTTCATCTCTTGTTGTACTTCACCATTGAGGAAACAGTATAAAAGTGCCACAAAGAAACCCTTTTAGGAGCAAAAAAAGAAGAAAAAAATTGATGAGAAAAAAAAGATCATTAAGAACAACAAAAACATTAATGATCTGACCAAAGAACCATCATGAAAATCTGTGAGTTTTGACAAGTTCACCACTTGGCTCACATTAACTGAAACCTATTGACAAGTACATGAACACCTTTACCAATCGTTAACCATTTAACAACTGTTTGTAAATGTTGTTTAAAACAAATGTTTCATTTTAACTGTAACAAATGATTGTTGATTCGAGAGACTCGAAAATAGTTCAACATTTATTCTAATAATGGAAACTGTCTTTTATCGAAATGATGTGCAAATAATAAGAAAAATTTTTCTTGATAAATGCTTCTTTCGATTAGTTAATCATCAAGTGAAACAATCAGTGAACCATGAAAATATTGCAAATTTATCATGCTCTATGCTTACTGATTGATGATGAACATGATCATCATGATAGAATGAAAAAAATGAGTAAATATGGAAAATGTTAAAGTTTCATTTTTCTTTTACCATTGAACATGCAATGTTGATAATTGAATGATGAATGTGATTTTCAATGGAAATACATTTGACTGTTGAATGGAAAATCGAGAGAAAAAAGATTCATTGAAAAGTTCAACTTATACCCTTGAGCTGAACTATCATCACACTTTACCTTTTAGGGAATAACGAAAAAGAAATTCGACAAAATTAGAGATCGAACTAATTTCCATCTTCTTTGACTTTTGTAGTTCATCATTTCGAGATTTGTTTCTATCAAGATTAATAGTTCTATCGAGTTTCTGTTTTCAATGAAAGAGTTAATCTGAGTCTTGAACTCAATCTGATTTAGAATTTTTATCTGGAGAAATTTTGCCAAGTGAAAGTAGTTTATGTTCATTTTTTGTTTCATTTTTTCAAACTTTAAAGTTCTAAAAAGTAATTATATAAAATCGAAAATGTTCAACATTCAAATGATTCCAACATTGCCTTTGATTAGTGTTTTTGATTGAAGTCTTTTTACTTTGTAACCTCAAAAGTCAATTAACTTTAATCATTTAATTTCGTCACATTTTAAAGAACAATTATTGAACCGTTGGAAAAACATTAATTATCTGTAAATTGGATTCCATGAAAAATGTTATCATGAAAGTTGCCAAAAGTCAGTGCAAGTCACATGACAAGTTTTGGGAGTGAATTTTATTTGACAATTTTTTGTACTTTTTGTTTCATTTTCTTAATTTTATAACTTCAATGATCAATAGCAATCATTATTGAATTTGCGGTTCCTTCTCATTCAGTTTGCCATATTTTTAATGTTGATCGTTCATTCATCAATTTATCCAGTCTACTGAACTTTCAAAATGATTACTTTCATTGTAAGCTTTTCTTGGCTCATAATTTCATTTCTTTTCTCATTATTGAGTTTTTTCTCGATCAACTTTTGCTTTTTTTACAACTTGTATTCATCTCGATAAATGGAAAGCTAAAGGTTCAGTCTTTGATATATTGAATGTCATTGCAACTGGACTGTTAATTTAACAAAACAAAACATTTTACTTTCCATTACTTGACTGGACCAATGGATAGAGGTTGACTGGAAACTGCCTCGAGCAAATGTACAATTTGTTTCATTGCATTGCATAAACTGTCCAATCTGATTGATTATGCAGTTCGAGTTGTCAAACTCAATCTTCATTATTTTACAATTTTCCAACTTTTATTTTCTCATTGAATTGAGATGAGTTATAAATTGCTTGTTTAACCCTTTAAAAAGTGTCAACTTTTTTCTTTGCCATTCATCATCATGGATTCATTTTTGTAATATTTCATTACATGATTTATGTGGCTTGCTATTTGGTTGCTTATTGTATCAACATTAAACCTTTAATGTGACATTCATTTATGACCTTCAATGTTGAAAAAATGTACTGAAAGATAGCTTTCGTCGGTACCGGAACTGACTGTTTCCTATTGGGTGAGACTTTATCAGATTGATTTGTCTTTCTTTTATCAGTTAAAGTTCGTCACCTTCACCATATTATCAATAAATGGTCAATGTTATAAGTGATGTAAACCTGTGATAACTCATGTTGGTAAAAAGATAAGTCTTTTTGTGCCATTCAGTAAAATGCTTTTGCTTAAAATTCGTTCATCTTCAAAACGGTATAAATTATTAACATGTAAAAAACAAACCAATCTGAGAAAGTTTGAACTTTCGGAAAACGACATTTAAAAGTAAATTAGAGGTCAAATTACTGAATGACCTTGAACGTCCTTGAGACTCTGGATTTAAGCTCTTCAATTTCGAGAACTCTGCTGACTGAATATCATGGGCTATCATTTTTGAAAGATACACAAATAGAAATCCAATGGATTGAGATCAGGTGAGCTTGGAGGCCATAGCATCTTGGCCTTTCTACTGATTATTTCTTACCAAATAGAACTGTTGGTAATTCAACTGTTTGGTCGCTGCAATGAGTTGTCGTCCCATCCTGTTAGAACCAACATCGGTCAATTTCTCCATATTGTCTCAAAGTCGGGATGTGCTCAAGCTTGATCATTATTCAAACATAAACATCGACATTTGATGAATAAAAGCATCCTTACAAGAATCTCAAAATCTTTGAATTCGAAACTTCACACCAAACATGAGAGATTATGGGTTACAAGTGTATTGAAAAATGTTGGCCTGTGTTTACAACATGGCCTTTCATTCTGATGGTTTTCTCGTCGTGCTATGCACGTGCTATTTATTGAGCACTAAGTAGTTTTCACCCATTTCCAAGTTAAACTTTGCATTTAAGTTTAAATCCTTCAGTTAAAACACCCAGTTTGTTTCTCCCTTTTAACCAGCGTTAAGAATAGGAAATATATTCGTCGAGACAGGAAATGGGTGAAATGAAGGAAGCGAAGAATGATTCGGACCATTTCTTTTAGCACTTAATTTTTGAGTTTTACACCTCCCAATTAAGGTTAGAGAGTGCACCACTTTTCTGTCACCATTAGTGGGATAATTGACCTAGTCCATTTACGGTCAGTCTAAAACATTGGATAATAATAACAATAATCTGATGGACATAATTTCCCATTAGGTTAATCAAAATTTAGTTGGATTGATAATAAATTACAAGGTCATGCGTTAGCGTCGACCTCTGATTGACATTTGAAAGTTATTCTCTGCCAATGCTGATTTTTTGCCTAAAAATGTTTGTTTTTAAGGATTATTCAAGCTATTTTATTTCATGTAGGAGTTTATTTGAATTAACTTGCAAAAAACTGATTCTTATTTGGATTCATCAAAAATTTAATTTAATGCTCTTATTAAAACGTTACCAGGTCAAATCATTGAATTCAATTTTATAATGAAGATAAACTGACTGAGATTGCAGAAGAGAAAAATTGAACTTTAAAATAGTTCGATAAAAGTTGCCAGATTGAATATAAAATGCGAATGTGCAATGCTACAAAATAATGAGCTTAAAAGATTAATGAGATTAATAAATCTTGTTATTATTAATTGTCTCTTTCATTGTTCCAGTTGAGTTTCCACAGCAAATCTAAAACAAAATACATTGAATTACATTGAATCATTATTGATTATGGCGCAGCAATTAACTGTCTGATGATCAACTTTCAGTCTGGTGAACTTGAATTGTCATTCACTTGAGAAACTTGTTGTGAATCAGAACTGAAAAACAACAAAAGCAAATGCTTTTTTGCACTTTTTTCTTATCATTGTTCAACTTGGAATCATCATAAAAATGCAAATTAAAATGTCAGCCACAGATGATGACAAAGATGGTAAAAATGGAAATAACATTTAATCTGATTCTTATTTTTTCATTTCCCATGCAATTATCATCACTTATTTTTACATTTTTTGTCATTCTTTTCTTTTCTCTGCTCCAAGATACTTTCACTCAATTATCATTACTTGATTTTTTACTTGAAGGTAACTGTGAGAGTATGCAACCAATCTTTTCCCCTCATTTGTATCTTCCCCCGCATGTATTGTAACCCTTACAAACGTATGTGGTAATAACATTGTCCTCTGAGTGACTTTCAGTCACATGTATATAAAGTCTCATCATACTGATGACCAACACACACTTGTAACATAACACTCAAACCTATTACAATAAACCTAAAGTCGGTCCAACTCTAACAGTAACTTTTCATGAGGGGCCTTGAGACTGAATTCACTCGACGAAATCTTTTAATGTTTCTCTTGACTCATTGCCGGAATATGAATAAATATCAAAAGAAGAGTAACAAAAAATTTGCATAAAAGGAAAAAAAAGATTCTTTAAGAATAAATTGTTAAAATGATTAAAAAGAAAGTTTGATTCAATTATCATTCAAAGTTTAATGAATTCATCATCTGTTTACGGTTAATTTCAATTCATATTTGCTTCATTATCCACAATCGAATGGTTTCATTTCAAAGAATGTCTTTTGATGGTTTTTTGATCTTGAATGAAAATAGTTGAACTTACCTGAAAAGAGGTAAAAAGTTGATCGACATAAAGCCAAATGATTTCGAGGCTTGTCGATAGCGATGCCAACCAGTTGGCAATCAAGAGCAGAGCGTAATGAACACCAAACAAAGGAACCAAAACTAGAGTCGATTTGAACCATTTACTGTACTTGTAACATCGAGAGGCTTGAGCAACTGATGAGGATGAAAACATTTTGAGAAACAAGACTCGAGTAATGTTGATGAAAAATATTAAATTTAACTGGAAAACAAAAGAAGAAGAAAAAGTACAAAATTAATAATTTCATTCAAATTACTTTCAGAATCAGATATTATCTTGAGAAAGGAAACTTGAATTAATAATAAAACGTTTTGCCAGATTCGTTGAACAAAAGAGGAAACTTTTTTTCCTTCAAATTGTTTGCTTTGTTTTCAAAACTTTCGGACATTTTTTCGTTCAAAATTAACTTTCGTCAGCAAAAGAAATTCAGAGAAATTCATTTCTATGCAGAATTTTTCCATCTTCCAATATTCTCCAAACCCTTTGAATAAAATTTTATTCACATTTCCGCTTCTCATATCATTTCCATCAATCCATGTGATTACAATATAATATGCTAATCTTGTTCATTATTATACAGATATTAACACCATGAAAAGGAGCAGAAATGAGCGAAGAAATGAAAAAAGTTTAATCAATGTCTCGGTGAAATTTATCGATGAAGATTATCGTTTTTTCAAAAAATTATCATTTTCTTGTTACATGAAAAGGGAGAAAAAATGAGTCGAAACGATGTGCATTTTGATGTTATTCAACATTTGAATAATTTTTGCATAAAAAAAGATTCTCACATTTGCCTTCTTAAAGTTGAAGACAAACAAGGAATCAAAACATAACATAAACAAGGAAATTGATATTGAACTTGATCATTTCATGTCGTCTCGTCAAGTTGAATGTGCAAATTGAATGAAACTCAAAGCGAATGTTGACAAATATTCAATCTCAAAGTGGCCCTTTAACCTTTTCGGAGACAATTTTTACTTTCACTTTTGCAAATTATCCAAATTTTATCAACACTGAAAATTTCATGATAAAAGACAGATTCTTGAATGTTGCTCTTCATCTTGCTTTTCTTTGCCATATTCATTAATCTAATACTTTTCTCAATTTAACCATTCATTTTGGTGTTCGCTTGTTTGTCTGTGGTTGTCAGAGTAAACTTTTATTCTGATTCACTCAACATGATTTACTTTGTTGTTGCTGTCGTTGTTGTTCATTTCCTCTTGTTTTTCCATGTTCAACTTGTTCCTCAGCTTTGAAACAAAACGAGAATTGCCTTTGACACAAAAGTTTGCTTCATCACAAAATAATATCAAGTTAATGGATGAAGGAGAAAAGATGAAAAGACAAAAATGTAATAATATGTCTGGATAACTGAATAATCTGACACATGATAAGCAAAGAATTTGCATATTCTTTACCAATTCTCATCTTGACCTGTTAATTGACGATCACAAGAATGTTGAACGTTCACGTTCGAAGGATAATAAATGATTAAAGTCTTCATAAAGATGCACAAATTAACTGTCGATTTTGATCCTTTCCTATTCTCATTGTTTAATCAAAATATTATTCATTCAAACCATTGATATGTTCAACATGAAAATCAGGTCAAATATTGAGATAAACTTCTAAATTCTCTAATCTTTTCATTTATTCCTTTTCTTTTTTTCCTTCCTTCTCAGCTTACAAGAAAGAAAAGTAGAAATTCTTTTCATGATGAGTTTGATGTAAAGAGGCGAAAAACTGTGTCATGTAAATAATAGGATTATCAACAAGATTAAAGCCCAGGCAAAGTAAAAATAGTTGAACACAAAATTGTCATAACTATTGTTCAATGTTGGTTCATTTGGTTGACGAAAAGAAATTCATTTCTTCATCTTGTCTCTCTTTTTATTGTCAATATTTTTCTCCTCTTCTTGGCTTCAATTCAGTTTCATTTCAAACTCTAGACTGATTAATGTTTCAAAAGATGAAAAGGATCAACACTGTTTATAAGGTCAACTGGGAGTTTATTTTTTGATTTACTCCAGCCATTCAATTATCATTGAATCATAAAACAGACTGAACCACTTTCCCCTTCCCTTTGCATCTTGTGAGATAAGTTATTATCAAAAATAGATTTATATTAAGAATGTTTTCCATTTTTGTTTCTTTTTCACCATTTTCTTGTCTCTTTGCGCTTCTTTCAACGTCAAACCAAACATAAATAAATATTTTGTTATACAATGTTATTCACTGTTCAACATTGATACACTACTTTTGCCCTTTTAATACTTTTACGACATTCTTTCACTTTCTCATCTTCTTCTTGTTGATGTTGTTTTTCATATATTTTATATTATTGGAGAAAGAGAGAGAAATGTTCAAATAAAAGTTGAAAATTATTTTCACTCCAATTCATCCTGAATATGACTTCAATTGAATCGAAAGTAATTTATATATAAAAATGGTTCAATATTATCTCTTTTCATGTTTGCTTGAAAAGAAATGAAAATGAACTTGAAAATTGGAACTCAAATCAAGATGATCATGATGAATGTTCAAGTCAACTCGGCTTGTTTGTAATGAAAATCATCTTCAACATGATTGCTGAAATGTGAACGTTTTTCAAATGAATCTTATTTCGTCAACACCACGTCTTGAAAATCGTCAGAGAACCACTTTTCTCTCAACCAATATCGAATTCAGCATTTCAAGTTTCGATTTTGCATAAATCTTGAGACGAGTTTGAAAAAAGCATAATTTTTGTCTGTTCATTGTTCAATCGAACCCTTAACAACGAAACTCAAATTTTCACAATTTTATTCTGATTGTTGGTCGACTTCTTTATGCTCTTGACCTTATGCTGTTTATTTTTCATGTGCACAGAAGATCAATGCGAGGAGAAAGTTCTGTCTGAGAATTCTGGAGTAAAGAGAAGAGTCAATATTTTTCGGCTATAAATCATTTTTCAAATGAAACATTAATGTTCTTTTAGCTATTAAATAATAACTAGTAATAAAAACTTCAAAACTGATTCGCTTTAATTATTCTTTAGTTGGATCAATAATCAGTCTCAAGACTTTCATAAATGTTACAAAATCACAGTTTTAGTAAAGTCGCCTTTTCTTGAAACTTTACTTCAAGTTGTCTAGACATTCAATCAATCTCCAATTCAAAAGATTCTTCAACTTTTCCCTTAATTCCAGCAGCCTGGTTACACTTAATTATTCAGTTTTTAATTCACTTGACGCGAAAATAAATTGTATTCTCAATAAAATTGAACTTCTCTCGGGAAAATTCCCTTTTATTTATTATCTTCAAATGAGATTAAAATAATTTTATGACTAAAAATAAGTTTAACAAATTGTTCAATTCCTATTGTGATCTTGAAATGTTTAAGAGTTGATGCTCTTCTAAGCGAAGAAAACGAAAATTGAAACAAATAAAAATGTCGTTGACACAATTATCTGATCAAAATGAAATTGCAATCCCTTATGGCTTTGATTACATCGTTTGAAAAAAACATTGGCTTGAATATCAGTCAACTATTTGGAGTTTGAATTTAGTCTGAATGCTGACAAAAACAAATTACACTTTTTGACTCTTTTAGAAGATTATTTCAATTTCGTTGCAATGATAAATTACCTGAATGTAACTGAGAAAATTTCTGTTCTGTTTGTGGTCCGAAATTGAATTACTTTGTGCAACTTGACTAATCAAATAATGATATTAATAGATTATAAGTAGACTATTGAGAGATTATGGTGAAATGGAATACAAAGAAACTTGAAATCATCGAATTAGCAGAACAATCCAGTTTGAGGAATCACTTGATGAGTATCAAGTTATTGGTGTAATATAAGATAATTGCTGTTTGATTGTCAAAAGAAGCAAGTTTTTTGCTCATGAAAAGGTTTGCATAATTAGATGATGGATTGCTGATTGAGTGATATTCATAATTTAAAACTTCATTTTGCTTGCAATTAACATTTGGTAAATTGTGTTACTATTTACATTAAATTTCAATTCAAGTATGTTTACAACATTCAAGTTAATGAAATTAATGAGATTTAAAAAAGTATTTCCATGAATATTTTTGCAAGTTTGGTAATTGCTCAATCAACATGATTGATGAGCTACACCTTCAACGTAACGTTAGTTCATTCAGTTATAAACTTGTTTACTTTTATTGTGGTTGCATTTGTTTTCAAACTTTTTTCATTAAAGATTGTATTTCGTTATACTTGCTCGAAGCGAAATTCATGATGTAATCTAGCAAAAGTTTGGAGACGGCGAGTATCGATCTCGCTACCTCTCACATGCAAAGCGAGCGCTCTACCATCTGAGCTACGTCCCCGAAGATAAAGACAACGCTATGAAATGTAATGATGTAGATTCGTTTCACAGTTTGTTTTACATCAGATTGCTCCCATTGATACAACAGAGAAACAGATAATTTCTTCAATATTTGAGGCTGCTTCATGACTCGTGTCAAAAATGCAGCTTTCTTGAATTCTGTGAATGAACCATGTTAGCTACGTACTCGATGATGAAGATACGCTATGAAATCATGATAGCAGTTCGTTTGATTCTTTCTACAATTTTGCTTATTGTTATTGCATTGAAAATGAGATTTGAAGGTTAGTACTGAATAGGTTTTGGAGAATAAAAGACTTGTTCGTCAACCATCCATCTTTGTTAGGAAAAGTCATAGAGCACTGGTCTAATGCAAATTAGAACTGAGCTTGTTTTACTGTAAATTGGCAAAAAGGTAAGCGTGAATTCAAACCACATGAAAACACTTATCCGTATAAACATGTTTTACACGTCCTTGCATTTGCATTTGTTTTGCATTCTCTTCCTACTTTTTGATTTCACTTTTCAGCTCATTAAAACTCAATTTAATGATATAATCCATCAAAAAGTTTGGAGACGGCGAGTATCGATCTCGCTACCTCTCACATGCAAAGCGAGCGCTCTACCATCTGAGCTACGTCCCCGAAGATAAAGACAACGCTATGAAATGTAATGATGTAGATTCGTTTCACAGTTTGTTTTACATCAGATTGCTCCCATTGATACAACAGAGAAACAGATAATTTCTTCAATATTTGAGGCTGCTTCATGACTCGTGTCAAAAATGCAGCTTTCTTGAATTCTGTGAATGAACCATGTTAGCTACGTACTCGATGATGAAGATACGCTATGAAATCATGATAGCAGTTCGTTTGATTCTTTCTACAATTTTGCTTATTGTTATTGCATTGAAAATGAGATTTGAAGGTTAGTACTGAATAGGTTTTGGAGAATAAAAGACTTGTTCGTCAACCATCCATCTTTGTTAGGAAAAGTCATAGAGCACTGGTCTAATGCAAATTAGAACTGAGCTTGTTTTACTGTAAATTGGCAAAAAGGTAAGCGTGAATTCAAACCACATGAAAACACTTATCCGTATAAACATGTTTTACACGTCCTTGCATTTGCATTTGTTTTGCATTCTCTTCCTACTTTTTGATTTCACTTTTCAGCTCATTAAAACTCAATTTAATGATATAATCCATCAAAAAGTTTGGAGACGGCGAGTATCGATCTCGCTACCTCTCGCATGCAAAGCGAGCGCTCTACCATCTGAGCTACGACCCCGACGATAAAGATAATGCAGCGAAATATAATGAAGTAGGTTCGTTTCAAAGTTTTTTTGCTGTTGGTTTAGCTGTTCTGCTTACTGTTTTCATTGAAATGATGCTGCAGAACTTTATCCAAGAATACTGCCTAATTGTGGATGAAAGTCATCAAGATAGTAAATTGTCTCTGTATGTTTTGCATTGATTTCAATTGAGTAAAAATTTAAACTGTTTAAAGACGCTAATTAAATTGTTTTACTAATAGGTTGTCAATTCACAGCATTGTTCTGCTCTTGATTGTTTGTCTAGAATCTTATGATTGAAATAAGTTAGCAGTGAAACGTTGAATTATATTTTATTATCGTAACAATAATCTGTTGAGATTTTAAATCTTTAATTTACAAGAATTAATTTACCTGCACAAAAGATTCTTTTCTCTTCATGGGATGAATATTCCTAAACTATTCATACAGAGTATTATTTGCCGAGAGACAAAGTAAAATGAGTTATGAATGGATAAACCGCTAAAGCACAAGCTAAAATTTACGACTTACTTGATTGGAACTGAGGAAAAATTAAAACTTTTCAAAGACGCTAATTCAATAGCTTTATTAGCAACTTTCTTATTATTGCATTATTATTGTATTCATAAAATCGTTTTTTGGCTAAAATCATAAGATTGAGATCAGTTTGCAAAGTAAACTTTTCATCATATTCTGCATTAAGTTTATTATTTTCACAATAAGCTGCTGAGACTTGGAAGCGTTCACTTATAAGACTACTTTGTTTGGAGTTGATTTACCTGCACAAAGAATTCTTGTCTTTCATGAGTTAAATATTTCAATCTATTCATACAGATTACTTGCCGAGAAACAAAATAAATAGATATACCGCTAAAGCACATGTTAAACGACTTTAATCATAAAGAAAATTCGCTTTCATTTAAAGTTTGGAGCTGATTTGGTTTGAATTCAAACCACTTACCATCTGAATAAACACGTTTTCCTCGTCCTTGTATTTGCTTTTCTTTTGCATTCTCTGCCTACTTTTTGATTTCACTTTTTAGCTCATTAAAACTCAATTTAATGATATAATCCATCAAAAAGTTTGGAGACGGCGAGTATCGATCTCGCTACCTCTCACATGCAAAGCGAGCGCTCTACCATCTGAGCTACGTCCCCGACGATAAAGATAATGCAAAGAAATATAATCAAGTAGATTCGTTTCCAAGTTTGCTTTGCATAGTCAGATTGTTTTGCAGCATCAACCTTATAAAACAAGGCTTGACTAACTGAGAACCCAAATAATTTCTGCAATAACCAGAGCTACTTTGCACGCCAAAGCTTTCTTAAAGGGATCAGTTTGTCAGTTTGACTGAAATTTTCTAGTAAATAACAATATCGAGATTCTATTTGAGACTTCTAGAATGTTGTTCATATAAATCAAGTATCTATTAGAAGTCTGGAGAAAAGTCTTTTGCATATTTCATTTCATGAATCGATAATTTCCAATTTTGTTTATTGCTTCTAATTAACTTGAAAGTGGATATGACTTGTGTCCATCATGTTCACTTTGTGTGCTTTATTTAGAGCAATTTATTGCATTGAAATGCAATGTTACTAATACTAATTTTATAGCTTGCTTCACAACCGATTATAATTCAATTCCACTTTCATCTTGAGTTTTTCGAGTTTTACTCAAATAAAAACTTGAGCTTCTCTGATGGAATTTCAGTTTATTGATATACCAGAAATGATGATATCAACTATTGAATGAAATATTGACCGGTAACATGGAATTATATTGATATTTATAAAGAATTTTCAACATTAAAAGAAAATATTTTTAATCAAAAATTCTGTTTTCAACTGGAAAATTTCAACTTATTTTGTCTCTTCTTCTCTCGAATAAAGATTCATGAATAGATGTTTTTATTAATACATTTATTTTAAGGTTGAACAGTTTGAGGGATGAAAAAAGGCAATCGATTAAATATTCAATGAAATTGGATCTGGTCAATTCACTAACGTTTACAACGGAAAACTTGATTATTCAATGAGGAAGTAATTGTTGCATCTTTTATGAGACGATTCATTGCAACCAATACTTGACAGCCTTTCAATCCCAGTCTCCTAACCTTTAACCCTGTTAACCTAACAATCATTATTGGCAATTTCACTTTAAGTTCAATCAGAAGCCAAAAAATGCCGAATACAAATTTTCATCAGCAGCTAAGTTCATAAGAAAACATTTTTTCATCAGTTTAACAATAAAAAGTTATTCAAAAAAGTGTTCAAATGATCACAGCCTCGATCTTCATATTCATCCCAAACTTTTGTCATTTTATCCTAACGGCAAGTGGAAGCTAAACCTTTGAAAGAACCTAAAAATTGTCAAAATCTAAGAATGAGAATAAACATTCACTTATCATTCTTGTCCAATGGTCTTTAGACTTCGAGATCTTCCAGATGTTAAAGGATGAAACCATTTCTGCTCAGATATGAGTCTTAGGAATGACCAGTACTTTGCATTTTGCATTTCAATCTCTTCTATCATATGACCAAAGTATGAACCAAACTTTAACGTTAAAATTGCATTTATTCACGTACAATGTTTGCATCTTTAATCAAACACTGAAGAGCATTTATTTGAGCATAAATCGAAACCTTTTTCTTTAAGTGAACGAAAGCAAAACAAACAACGAACTTTTGTGTTCAAAGTTTCCAAGCAATTCTAAACATTTATCAATCATATTATATTGTTACCACAATTGAATCTCAAGACAAAATCCCATTTTCACCTTAAACTAAATGTAATGAGATTAAGAGCTACTCACGATAATAGATATTGTAATTGGTCCTCTGATTATCCAAAATAAGGCAACGTTCTTATTGATCACCCAACAAAATGTATCCTCATACAGTGAACGAGCAATTATCCAGGGAATGATAAACAAGACAGGTAAACCTTAGAAGGTGTGAAACAAGAAAAAGGAAGAAAAGAAGATTCGGATTAAAAGATGCAATTGTTTATGATGGAAGCGAAGGAAAAAAGATAAAAATAAATGTTCTGAAATAATGTAACCAACATCAAGATTCCCATGAGTTGGTAAAGAGTTTGATTAGCCAGTAATTGTCATGTTGATGATCATTATTAGCATTGATATTAACATTGACGGCCTAATCTTTTCTCATGTTAATTTGAATGTTGTCAACGTTGACAAAAAGTTAAATACAGTAATCATGTTCAATAATATAATAGCAACAATAATAACAGTAATAATAACCCTGAAACTCGAGATTGATTGAAACCCTTTTACCCACTAAATTGGGAATTAACATTTCACAATTGCATTCTTAATGGAATCATGTCAACAGGTAATCAACATGATGATAGGTTTCAATGAGAATAAGAATTAATCTAATGTTGAGGAAAGAAGAGTCAATTTTAAATGTCATTCTTGTTCAGAACAACGTTCAAGTCAATAATTTCAATTCTGTATTCACTTGATTTAACCTCTTGCAACAAAAAGATATTCAAGATTCAAAAGTCGGCGAAATTTTGCATTAAGCAAAGATATCAATAAACAGGGAATCGGAGCGAAAAGATAATCATCTAAATGAAGGGAAAGTTTCATTAGCAGTTTACAAGGAAAAGTCAACATTGGATAAAAGAAGAAAAAATTCATTTCTTTTACGACAAAGTCAGTTCGAATTGGAATACTTCAGAACAAATGTTCAACTCTAAGATTAGAGAATCTTTCATTTCTGTTTTTCTACTATTCTTAATGATAGAAGCTTGAAATCGTTGAAAGTTGATTTTTTAGGTTAATTTGCCATCTATCAATATCTTGCAAAGTCCAGGTCTGAGACAAAGAGACCTTCATAAGGTTCGTTCCTAAAAATAGATCTTTTTTTGAAAAATCAACTTCTTATGAAGTCGAATAGAAAATTTCGATAGAAGAAATTCAAAGATTTCTATTTAACTTTTCGATATCTTTTGTTCGAGCCTCAGTTCTATGCACATCTCTTCGAACTCTTTACATCTTATATTGATGCAGAAAATAGACTAAGAACTTGCTGTTACAAGACATCGAAATTTACGAAAAATTCAATTCGATTCATTTTTGAACATTTATTCGACTTTGACTTTGGAATTTTCTATGAGTTTTGACGAAATGTCTTGCATCGATGTTAAAATTGACGATCTATCGATTGGGGTTCTAAGTTTATCTGAAAGACAAAAGCAACTGATGTTTTCATTCCCAGTGAAATTTTCCAACTCAAACTGATTTCCTTGTAACACTTTGTAAACAAAGGATTGAATCGTCAATGATATTCATCAATTGGTAAATTTGGAGATTTGAATGAACATAAAGGAAACTTACTCCAGCCCAGGATAATGTACTTGAGAATGCTTGAATTGTCATTGAAGATGTTGAAAAAGACTAGATTATGAAGATATAATCCTTCCATTAAAAGCCAATTGTAGTTGGCTAAAAGGGAATATTGCCAGACGACAATAATCAGTTTACATGATAGAGTCTGGAAAAGAAGAGAAGAAAAGAGTTTTAAATCAAATTAACAGTTGAAATGAACAGCAAGTAATTATCCTTCATGATCAAGTTCAACTTGAAAAAATGATTATTCAAAATCATTGAGTTTCAATTGAATTGGGGAAACTTGATTGTCATATCAATTGCTGTTGCTATAAATAACAAAACACTTATTCAACCATTTTACAGTCTTTTCCATGTTTGTTTACAGTATTAATAATGGAAATGAAAAATCTCTTCTTTCTGTTCAACTTTTCATTTCCAATTTTATCTTCATTTTTTCATCTTCTCTAACAAATAAAAGCTCATTTTTCATGGGCAAAATTACCTTTTCACAAACAATGATATTGAAGGTAAGAAAAAGATGAGGAAAGATGAAGGAATGATTCAACTTAAATTGTTACTCAAATGATTAATTTGTATTTTGTATGAAAATAGTGAAAGGATAATAATCAGTGTTGGTAAAGGAAAAAAGATTTTTTTCTCATTCTTTTCCAGAAAAGATGAAATTGATAGGAAATTTTATAATGATTCATGTAACAAAAAGTTGAATGGTGTTGATAATGGTTTCATTATGATGATTACCCTTTACAAGAGTTGAATTTAAGTGGTGAAAATTTGCTATTTTTGTCATCACTTTGTCTGTGAGTTGCTTTTCAATGTTCAACAAATTGAAATATTGATAAATTGAACATTTTTCTTGATTCGACTGTTGATAATAGATTCGTCAATCGGATTAAATACGAAGGGTCCAAGTGATTTCAAGACAAAAGGTTGGATTGAAAGATTGAAAGGAAAGTTGATTTACAGTTGGTGACACACTTGAGGTATTCAGGTTACACGGAACTCTCAGAGTATTATATCTAATTCCCTGAGGTGATATACCTTCAAGTATAAGTTACTTATGTGTATTAAAGGGAACACAAATGAAAGAGAAACTTTGAGAAAAAGATTTTTTCTTTTTTTTCTAACGTTGTTATAAGCAAAATTCATTTAACAGTTGGATAAGTAGCTTCAGCTTTCGACTTTGTTTTTCTTTCTTCTTCATTTGGAGTCGCTTTCATTCCATTTTCTGGCTTCTTTCAAAATTTCAAAATGAACTAATATTAGCTCATGTTACAGTTCAGCTTGATTTACTTGCATCGTTATGTTATTAGCTTTTTGTTAGTCGCACAATGAAACTCGAAAAGCTATTTTTCTTCATTTTTCCTCAAATTTTTCTCCTCAAACAAATCACGTTAAGATTCAGTTGGCTAACGGTTCAACCATGGCTTCGAGCTTGGATTTAACTTTGAATTCAACTTTTCCAAATTAAGAATCTTTTATGAAACTGAAACTTTTATCAAATATTCGGATCAAAATCAATATTTAAATTCCAAAAGCATTAGTCTGACTGAGAATAACTAAAGAAACTTTTTGCTATTTCTGAAGGAATTGTGAGTTCTGTCGAGTTTAACGTTTTGTCAAGTCTGCTGACTTTATGTTGAACTGAAAGTGAAGAATTGAAGAAAAATTAGATCGAAATTGTTCGATTTTCGATCGGTTTTCGAAAGATTACAATGTTGGTTTATCATTAGAAGTTTGAATTTCTTTAGTTTATGAATTTTCTTTATCGATAAATTGCTGCATTAGACTTGAATTTCGTTATCATAAGCAAACAGAATTATTTGGTTTATTGAGAGAATGAAATTTTCATTCAATTTGAACATTTCTCAGTTTGTAACTTGCAAAGTTTCTATTACAATGATGGAGTAAAGAAGATTGAAATTTAATTTTTGTTCCCTCATTTCCAAGGAACGTTACATTAACTTGATTATGATTTGGTTCAGTGAATGATCTGAGTTAATCAAAATTAATAGCAATTTCTACTTCATCATATTAAGCAAATTGCCTGAGTATTTTGATACATCAATGAACTTGTTTGTTTTTCAATAAAGTTTAAAGAGAAAGAAAACGATTCCATTTTTTAAACTTTGGCTTAAATGAATGTTGATTGATAACATGAGTCTGAATCGATAGAGAAAAGTTCCAATATCATTAGAAGCTATTCCATCATGGTGAAATGTCAACAATGGCAGACCAATTTAATTATCATTCCCTGTAATTCTAATTGCATTTTCATCATTTATTCACTTCTAGCTAAATCTTGTTGTTTAATCACTCAATAATGAGCATCATTTTGATGAAAGAGAAAAGCCTTGCAGGCGAATTTGTCGAATTCATTAGTTTTTCAAGTTTCAGAGTTTTCTTGTTCTCATCACTTTCCATCCTGAATTGACTGTGACATTTAGTCAATTGAAGCCTTTGTGCTGTTGAATTGTTTTGTTCACAATCTCACAAAATGATTAATCTGTTTCATGAGAATTGAAAAAATCGTTGAGAGAAAAAAGCATTTTCAAATGAATCAAAAACTCTTTGAGAGTTTCACCTTATCACCATGAATAACTCAACAGAATCGAATCCATCATGAACAGAATAAACAAGAAAAAAATGAACAAGAAAAAGGTAACAACGATAAAGTTGAAATTCAGATGCAAATAGAAAAAGAGAATCGACAAAATAAACTTTTCTAAACTTTTCTTGACCTAAAAAGTTCTTTCAATTTCTTCAGATTCCCATGACAACCACTCAATATCTAGAAGTTACAAGTCAAATCGTGTTCAATAATAGCTGAGAAATGGTCAAAAGCGAAAAGGTGAAACTCTTTTAAAAAGAAAAATTTTAATCTCTTTTATGCTGAGAAAAGTTATCAAAATACTGGGAGTGAAAACAATTGAAACGCAATTCTTTCGAGTAATCATTTTCTCTGTAACAATGTAATAACTCAATGACCACAGTTGATTGAGACAACAATCTATTCAATGATCATGGATAATTGAGGGTAAAAGAATAGAATAACAATTGCATCTTTTTCGATTCCTCTTTGGATAAAAGTGGATCAAATTTCGAACAGCAATTAATCAATAATTACACTGTTGTACTCCAAGGTGAAGAAGATGTTTTTGACATGAGTTAATAATGATCGACTTATGAATGAGAGAAACAATTGAAGATGAAGATGATTCCTTGGACATTGAAGACGTCTGTTGGTTGATCCAATGTCAAGTGATGAGGAGGGTCACCAGTTGAAATGATTATTGATTTTCAATGGAATCCAAAAATGAATGGAGAAAAAGAGAAGAGAAGAAAAAAACGAAATGATCAAATTCTGCATCAAAGTTGATAATGATTATGAGAAGTAAAAGATGAGTGGAAAAGGAAAATGATGATGAAAACTGAAATCAATCATGTTAATCAAATGAATCCACAAGAGTATAAAAGCTTATGATTTATCGCATAATAACATTGTGTTTACTCAAGTCCCTACTATGCTTTACTGTGCATTTGATAACCTTTAAGGAAGGCCAGAAAAGAGAAGCAAAAATTTCTCAGCATTTCTGACAGAACTTTTCTCTCCAAACAACAAACTTGACATTATATTATCATTACTATCGTCATGATTATCATTCAACTTGTACTTTAGTTACTGAAGAGTAAAGTTCATTTGTGAAGGTTCATCGTTAAATGAACTGCAATTGATAATTAAATTCATTTCAAGTTTTCTTTTCGAAAATCACGATTTTCTTTTTCCATGAACTTTGCTTTGGTAAAAGTTTTGCTTGGATCGGAAACTATTTAAATTTGCTTTTACTTGAGCAAATTAGCATTTCTGTTGCATTTTCAGGTCAATTTGCTTTTCCTTTCCATGATAATAATGGTAAATATGAAACTTGATATTGACTGGGAATAATACAAACTGTTATTAGGAATAAGAATTATTTTTGTTTTTCATTCTCTTTTTTTTCATTCTTTCCGCTGAGTAACATGATATTTAGGCTGTTAAATCAAGACAATCCAAATGCGTATTAATCAGAATTAAACTTGTACATCATGATCATCATCATTGCTCATTTTTTTATCTTTCCCTTGGTTCATCAGCGAAAAGTGGAAACAGGAAGAAAAGGCAAGAAAATGAATTTTCCATTTCGTTTCTCTGATTAGTCTATAATCTGGAGTTTCCGATGAACCCAAATGAGAAACAATAATCAACATTCATCAGATTATCTTCAAAATCCTTGTCTTTGGCTAATAATAGTAATGATAAATTGTCGAAGCTAATCAACTAATTTGTTTCGCTTATTATAAAACATACTTTTGAAGGCTTCTCTGGTGATGAAAGAAATGATAAACTTACTTGTTACAGAAGAGAATGAGAAATGCAATGATCAAAGTTAACAGGGAAACAGAATATCCAATTTTACTGATTAATTTAATGTGAGGTAAATGTTCCTGGAAAGAGAAGAGAGAAAAATCGATGAAAATAATGAAACATGATTAGATGGAGAAATGATGAAAATTTGTGAAAATTGCATCAACTTTTGGTTCTTCTTTAAGCCAATATTTCATTGGATATTGATATTGCCATTTTCATGACATTTTTCATTCTTTCATTATGAACCATTTCATGAAGCGCACTTTAACGCTTCCAATGTCACTTTAAATTGAATTGAAGTTTGGACAATTAATGTTGAAGCCATGAGATAAACTAGTTGATGGAATGAATGTTTTAAGGAGAAAAACTTTTGTTATTAAATTGTAATTAAATTAAGAATCCTTTTTGTCTTTTCACAAAACTCTTGATAAACTTCAACTTTTCATTATAAATGGTTGATTATGTGATATAAAAGTGTAATTGCTGGGCGTTTTGCTTTTGTTTAACTTGCAAGTTTGAATTATTGTTATTAGTTTCAACATTAATTAGTGTAACAACTTGGAAAGTTATTTAACCATGTATTGCTAATAGCTGAGTAACTTTTCAAGAAAACTCTGAAAGCTTTTTTTCTCTTCTTTCGTCTCTTAACATATGTTTATTGAAGGAAACAGTTAACATTAAATTGTATTTGTTCAAAGGGAAAACCAAGAAATCTTATTTTGTCTGTATTTGAGAAGGATTAAGATTGTTCATGTTGACAGAAAGGGCTTGGAATCAATTTCATGGTGAAATTTAATTGTTCAAGTAAAGGAAACTTTTGTCGAGTTTCATATTGAACTTTACTTTACTTTCAAGTGATGAGTAAACTTTTTCCTCTCAACAATCGGATTGCTAAAGGAGAGTCAATTTTAGTTTGAGCTTTTAATTTGCTTCCATCAGATTAGTCTGGTCTAATCGAGTAACTTTGCTGTGGGAAAAGTGATTGCGATCTAATTGATTAATGTTTCAAATTGAGGTTAGTTTAGCAAATTGGACTTTTTGTTTTTTCATTTGAGGTATTACTTTTCATTGAGCAAAGTTGTTTAAGATGAGAAAAGTTGAAAAATTTTTGATCAAAGGAAAAGTTTAAATTGTTCAACAGCTAATAAGGGATAAATGTAGGTAATTATTGTAATCAGCGATGATTGATGAGATGCTCAGCTTGTAAACTTGTTTTACTCCTTGTTGTGGTGCAAATTTGTTGTAAATTTGCTTTTGCTTTTGTTAAGTGATTCGAGTTTTTTCAGCTTGAATTTAATGATTCAATCCATCAAAAAGTTTGGAGACGGCGAGTATCGATCTCGCTACCTCTCACATGCAAAGCGAGCGCTCTACCATCTGAGCTACGTCCCCGACGATAAAGATTACGCTACGAAATATCATTTTATTAGCTCTTAAAAGTTTTCTTGCTGTTGGTTTAGCTGTTTTTGCTGTGGCATTGAAATGTTGCTGCAAAAATCAATAGAACTTTGTTCAAGAATATTTCTGCATAATTTTGGGTAACAGTCAGCAAGATAATAAATTATTATTCGATACTTTGGATTGAAAGTAAGCCAATAAGATACTAAATTATTGATGAATACTTTGGATTAATTGGATTTGAAGTATTTAAACTTTGTTAAAGACAATTGCTTTAATAATGGTTTGCGAATTCATACAATGTAAATTGTTTTGTATCTTGACTGTTTGGCTGGAATAATAAGATTGAAATCAGTTGCAATAAAACTTTTGATGATATTTTGCATTATTATTGTAACAATAAGCTGTTAAGACTTGGAATCATTCATTTATTGGACTGCTTTGTTTGGAGTTGATTCACCTGCAAAAAGAATTCTTTTCTTTTTATGAGATAAATATTTCAAAACTATTCATACAGAGTACTTGCCGAAAGACAAAATAAAATGAGTTATAAATGGGAAAATCGCTAAAGAACATGTTAAAATTTTCGATTTTATTCATAAAGAAAATTCATCTTTCAAGATTTTTTCTCAATTTAAAGTTTGGAGTTGATTTGGTTTACATTCAAACAACTTACTATCTGAATAAACATGTTTTACTCGTCCTTGCATTTCCATTTGTTTTGCATTCTCTGCCTACTTTTTGATTTCACTTTTTAGCTCATTAAAACTCAATTTAATGATATAATCCATCAAAAAGTTTGGAGACGGCGAGTATCGATCTCGCTACCTCTCACATGCAAAGCGAGCGCTCTACCATCTGAGCTACGTCCCCGACGATAAAGATAATGCAACGAAATATCATGATATCAGTTCTTTTCAAAGTTTGTTCTACATCAGATTGTTACTATTATTCCTACACAACAAGTCTTTACTAACAGAGAAACAAATATTGCTACAATATTCGAAGCTTCTTCAAGTGTCAAGTCAAACATAAACTTCTATGAGCGAGTGCTTTTCCATCTGAGCTACGATAAAGGTTTTGCTTAGAGATATCATGATGTAGATTCGTTTCTAAGTTTACTTCGCATCACCAGAATGTTTCAAAGTCTTATTCTTACAAAACAAGGCTTGAATAGCAAACATTGTGAAACTTTGTAATTCTCATCAAACATATTGATAATTATTACAACCATTGATTCTCATAAACCCTTTACTACTCGACTTTGTCATGAACATTGATACAAAACAGGTTAATCTGCAGCTTAGTTTCTCAACTTATCTGACCTTCGTTACATTGCAATTGACGAAACTTGAGATAGAAAACGATTTCAATATGGATTCGAATAGGAATTGACTAAAAATGTAAACTTTTTTCGAAACGTGACTTGAGCTTAATCTTTTCTGCTTCAACTGTTGAAAAGATTCTGCTAATCACATGTTAACTTTTCAACATTCAATCTCGACTCTTGCTCTAAACAAACCCTGGAAAGGTTATCATTCAACTTTGAATAAATTTGAAAAAATATTTAATCTTTATTGAAACTCCATGGAAACTCAAGTTTACTGAATCTTCTTCATGTTTGTTATGCATTTACAACATCAATATTTCAATTTCATTTTCAACTGAAAGCTATTGAAGCTATGGTCAGTTGAAAAGTTGATCATTTTTCTGATGAAATGAAATTGAATCAAAGAAGAGTTGAAAATATTCAATTAACTTGATATTGCTACTTGAATAAAGTAAATTGAACTAATTGAAATGTTGATTGATTTCCTTTCTTCTGTTTATCAATGACCAATTTAATATCGCTCTTTATTACTATTCATAGTTTCAAGTGAAAACTAAACTTTTCATTGGATTCCACCATCAACTGACAAATGATGAAACTGAAACCAGATGATTACATGGGAAAAGAAGAACCAACAGAAATTATTGAATTTGATTGAATTAACTTTTTTTCCCTCTTCCTTTATTAAACTCTGTTATCAAACTGATTGAAACCAATAAGTTATTTATAGATGGTTTAGCAAAATTGCAAATGGAAATGTTTATGTGAATAATTTTGCTTTAATATTGCTGTCATTGTGTGTTGAAATGGTTAATGTTGTTTGATAATTTTATGTTTAATGGTGAATATCAAGTGAGAATGAAAAGGGAAAACACAGATAATTCAATGATGACACTGATAATAATGGATAATTTAATGGCTAATAAAGAATCGAAACTCACATTGATTGGAGGATTAACAGAATAATTGTTTGGGTGACAACGAGTGTAATCGGTCCAACTTTCGTTTGTTGTTGGACTAATGAACCAGGTTCCATTGATTGTACAATCACGAGTTGCTGTTTCTGTTTTCAAATCCATCAGGTTTCAATTAAACATGAATCAAAGAGGCAACAAGATAATTAGTTTTGGACAAAAAAAAGTGTTAACCTTTTCTGGTTAAACTTGAGCAGTTTCGATAAACGGAAATTGCAAAAACTCAATTTAATGTTAGAAATTTTTGCAATTTTCATAATTTCGAAACTTCATTCTGCTCAAAATTTCATGCTTTAGAGGACTTTTCATGATTCGATTCCATCATATTGCAACAAGGATTTTAATGATCTCTTAGTAAATGCTTCAAACTGTCAACTTTATGCAAAATTTTGGGTTGATTTCATTGCAAGTTTTCATCTTCTACACTTTAGACTGGAATTTCGTTTTTTGTTGCTTTGGAATGGTGAACGGACAAGGGAATTGGAATGAGATTGGGTTTTCAAGATCATTAGATTTTGGGTTAAATTTTGATCTGAATCAGTCTCCAGGCCAATGATGGGAATTGGGTAAAATTTTCTGTTTACTGAATGTCGATTTTGAATGACGAACTTACCATTTTTATCAAACACGTCGATGTAGGAGGCACAGGGTAATATGGCCTGAGTACCGGCTGGTGTCTCAGGCCAGCACATTAATCCATCCCAGGTTAGAGGGCAAACGGATGCTGCAAGTGGTTTAACTTGATATCGAGCTTGACACAATTCTTGTTCAATTGCAACACGTTGACGTTGCAACGAAATAATTTCATCATTTGACATGTTTCACTTTTGGCACTGTTTCGTAGAGCATTTGAGTTATGGTAAGAAAGATTATCTTTTTTCTCTCTTTTCTTCTTTAATCTTTCATCTTGACATTCAATTAATACGTGAATGGTTTAAGATGATAATGGTGATGAGAAACCATGTGAAAAGTGTGAGGCTGATCGAGGAAATGATGTTAGGTGAGAATCCAACATGCAATTAATGTAAACTTTTTGCCATCTCATGCGTTGACAAGGTTCGCGCGCGCAAGTTCCCATCTCTTCGAGTTTGTTGAGTTTGCGTCTAAAGAAGAGCAAAACTTTCGCCTTCATTTCCTATTATTATTTCCTTTTCCATTTTTTTTTCTTACCATCACTTATTATCATGATAATCACAAATATTTTTATTTCCTTCTCACATGTTATTCATCAAGTTCAACGTGAGAAAGTATTGAATATCACAGTCAAGGTTGATCTTTTATTCCATTTTCTGTTCTTTATTCCTTGGATCATCTGAACGATATTTTTGTGCAAAACTTTTTTCTCAGTCAATTTAAAATTTCTATAAAAATCAAATTCCTCGCTTAATCCTGAGCCAACATTGGATATTCATCAATTGAACTTTAAAATTGCTATCATTCGATGCATGAGGAAAGTTCGAACGTTAATAAAGATTCGAAACTGGCGAAATATTCTTTGCGAAATGAGCGAATCTGAAATAGTTTCCAATTTTTCATTACAATAAACCCTTTGAACTAAATATTCATAAGCCTACCTATCATCATGTTAGATGATAGAAAATTGTTAAAATTTGATTCTATTGATTCTTTCGACTTAAACTTTTCAAAACCTTCATTGCAACTATTAAAATAATTAAATACTTACAGCTAATAAAATATTAATTTACTAGATCAATCATCCTTTGTTAAGATCATTTTGGATGAAAATTATGAATTAGCAATTTTCTAATGAATAAACTTTATCAAGACATGGAATGTTGTTCTGGAAAATTGGATATAATTAGTAATTTAAAGTATCAGAAACAATGAGTTGACACCTGAAGCAACGAAATTATAAAATGAATTAAGCTCTTTGAATGGATATTTCAGAGCAACACTTTTCAGGTCACCAAAAATATAAAAAATTGTATCAGTTTGAGTGATACTAATAAAAAAAATTTTCAAATTACAATTCAAAGCTTCATGATATCCAAGAAATTAGAAATTTCAAACCCTGAGAATGTTTGAAAAATAGAATTTCAAAGGTTTTAGATTTCTGGTAAAAGTTTGATTAAAATGATAATTTAAACAATTAACGATCGCATGGAGCAGATGAACATTTTCACTCTGACAGCAAACTGTAAATAAAAGGGAAACATTGTTTGTTTTCATATTTTTTATTGGTTTTGTTTCGGGTGTTTCTTCAAGTCTTGATTAAACTGAAATAGAGTTTAAATGAGAAATAAAAGCTTCCCATTTATCACCTTTCATTTATTTTGAAACAATTTTCACTTATTTATTTCAATTCACTGAATTAAATAACTTTTAAAATAACATTTGGTGTAACCCAAAAAAAGAGGCAAAAACGACAGATAAATTGAAGCTATTACATTGTGCCATTTGTTGGTCTTTTAGTTAACAGAAAAAAAAGTTCAATACCAAGATTCAATTTCAACAGTTACATTAAGCTTTTGCATTAAATTGCACATTAATAACAATAACAATCAGAATAATAATTAAAAAGAAAAGGTTCAAGAAATTTTCATACTTTTGTTTTACAGAGAAAATTTTACATTGGAAAAAATATCTTCAAATAACATTTCATTGAACAACAAACATGAGAAGAAAACAAATTGACAGTTATCACGAAATCAAAGCTTAAAATTATTGTTGAAAATTAATGACAAACGACAAAATTTGTGATAACTTTACACTTTTGGCTCTTGACTGGTTCCTAAATATCGATTATAATTGTTAACCTTTGAATATTGAATTTCATCTTGCAAACTGTTATGAATAACAATGGATTTGATGGTTTCTTTCATTTGATTTTTTTCCTTCTTGTTTCGCTTTTCCCTGTCATGGCCAGAATCATCATCAATTCCTACCAATGGTACAATCAGCAATGGCTGTTGATGCATCAATAATCTGAGCTGTTATATCGTTTGTTATTGCTGAAGCGATATTTGCTGAAACCAATGAGTTACCATCATCATCACCAGAACCATCAACATGATTTATTTGACCAACATTGTTGTTTAATTTGTTTTCACAATTATCATTGTTGCTGCTGGTCGACTGATTCTCATTGGAATCACCTTCAGTCTCTTGCTCTTTCTCCTTAATCTTTTTCAACGCATTGGTAACAATACAAAGATCACCTTTCAACTCGGAAACCAGAGACATTATCTTTCGAGTGTTGCTCAGAATTTCAACTGATTGAGTGTATGGATTGTAACGAACTCCAAATGGACGTTTAATGGTAGCAGCAAAATCTCTTCAGGTAAAGGGCCAGGAATAATCATGAAGGAGAAAAAAGAAAAAGAAAAATGTTAGTTTAACCAAAAAAGAAGAAGAAGTAAAATGTTGGGGAAAAAAGGTTTTAAAAAAACAATGAAAAACGTATGAAAATGTTGGATAAGAAATGATGTTTGATCGGCAAGAATACAAATAACAATCTTTAAGGAAACGAAATGACAAACATAAATGAATACCTTTATTGGTGAATGCAAATAATACACAATTTCAAGCCTATTTCCTATTTCAAGGTTTCATTGAACAAAATGTTTCTCAGATAATATTGCTTTTTATGCATTTCCGTTTCTTCTTGGATAACCTCTCTTCTCTACCTTTTTGTAACATATTTTTCCTGCAAATTTGTTTTTCCAATTCAGTCACCATTTCAGGAATATTTTAAATTCAAAAGATTTTTTTTCCTTTACTTTCAATCTGAACATCACTCAAACCTCGAAAGGAAAACCCTTTTGTTTTTACATTTAATTTTCCTTTCGCTCTTCTTTCATGATTGACATTTGTTTTTGCAAAAAGTATTTTAAATGAATCGTTTTGTGACATCTGATTAAAGGACAGTGAAAGCCAATTGATATTTAGTAAACTTAGAAATGTTTAAATGTTCAACTTTGAAAAAGTTTGTATATTTGGTTTAACATGTTGAAAGGTTGAACAAAAAACTAGACTTGAAAAAGGAAGGAAATGATAACTTGATTAAAGCAGAATGAAAAAATGAAGAACAAGAGAGTGAAGTTAATTTCCGGTTAAATTGAAAAGTGGGTTCAATTGGTTCCTATTTTATCATTATTACCTTTCGAGAATATCATGTTTCCAGATTGATAATTTTTTTCTTCAACTCATTTGTTTAATCGAAAAGAGAGAGAAAAAACTCGAAAACAAATAATCCAATGAGAACATGAACATTCAATGGCGACAAAATGATCTCGACTGTCAATAGATTTATTTATAGCAGGAAAGGAGTGAAAGGGTTCAATTTAATGACTTTTGTCTTTCATTATCAATCCATTTCAGCCTTAAGCCCATGATAAATGGAAATGAAGTGAGGTATGATTAGTAGAACTGCAAGTAAAACTCTTGTTTCTGAGCTTTTTCTCATGCGCCTGAAATTAATTGACTAGTTTTATCAACAAATGGATTATCAATGTAAAGTTGATTTGAAAATTTTTCAATTCATGATTCGATCAAAATTTTGTCAAGTTAGACTTTTTGGAAAATCGAGAATTGCGTTGAAAATATTATCTAAAAGTAGTTTAGAGAATCAGATAATTAGATCAACAGGAGTTGTGACTGTTGAAGGTTTGTTTTGATTTCAACTTTTTATTGATGAGACAAAATTTCAATTTCGCATTGATGAGTTGCTTTTTGTTGTTGTTTTCAATTTTTGCAGGGTTTCGACAAATGATTGAACTACTGAGACGATAAAGCATTGTAATTTGTTGACTGTCAACCTTTTTTTGTGATTTGGTGTGAGTGGAAACATTGTAACAATCGGAATGGTAGACTCACCTCATTTGTTCCTTGGCTTCCTCGAATGAATCTGTATAAAAATAGGCTTGTTGAAAGGTTGTAATCATGGGAGTCTGTTGACAAGTTATAGCTGGATCAAAAGGAAGTACACAAGCTGCCTCAGAAACTGAATGCTGTGTTTTTGTAGTTTATTGTTTAGGGTTCCCATTGAAATGAAAATTTGAGAAAAAAATGAAAAATAATTAAAATACAAAGATGTAAGATTAGTTGAGGAAATGCTTTGTTGTCATGTGAAGTTATGAGAAAAATTATTCATTTTGATAATTGAATAATTGTCAATATTTTTAAGATGAAGAACACAAATCTCGGTGGATTGAATTGAGATCAAAATTATATCAAGTCATCTTCAAGTGATTTTAATCGTAATTTTGTATCTCTTATGATTACTGGATTTGAAAGAACAGTGAAAAATTGATCGAAAACAACAGCTTCCCTTGAAAATTGTCAAAAACTAAAAATAGCTGAAATGCCTTTAAAAGACTGGAAGATTCAGAAAAGGAAGCAATTGAAAGCAACAGCTTCCCTTGAAAATTGTCAAAAACTAAAAATAGCTGAAATGCCTTTAAAAGACTGGAAGATTCAGAAAAGGTTACCTTACATTGAAATCTTTGCCTAGTTTGATCGTTTAATAACAACAATCAGTTTGAATTGAAACAACTGCTAGAATGAGTTGGATTAGTCTTCAAATTGACTCAATATTTAGTTTGGTTGAGTTGTGAGCAAGGTTCGAATTTGCTTCCAAGTTTCATGGAAGGGTTTTCAGAATTATTGAAATAAGTCAGTGAAACCATCGACTATTGAAAGAAATTAGTAATTAAGTGAAAATATCCAATTCAGCGAGGAAATCCTCCCAATCCTAAGCAGTAAAATTGCTGACAATTTCACAGTAACCTGAGAATGGAAAACAGAAACCAAAATGTTCAACGAAACAACAAAATTTCAAACAAAATATCTAATCATTTCGTTCTTTCTAGAAAAAACACATTCATTAAAATGAAAAAAATCATCTTTGGTTAATATCGAGAAGAGTTGCTCAAAATCCAATCAAAAACTAACAGGATTAGCGTTTCAAGATTACATTATTGGATTTTCCCACAAATTAATGATGAAAATAATGATAATTTTGACTGAATAAGCTTTGATTAAACTTTGTTGAAACTAATCCAAAGAAATCAAATGAAAAACGAAGCGAAAATAATGAACAGTAAAAAAAGTCAAATAGCTACATTTGATATTTACTTTTTGTTGATGTTTTGATAAATATCAAATTGTTTCCACTGTTATTAGTTTTCGGTGGAGACAGTAAAAGCTATTTCTTATTTCAACATTTCATGATTATTGAGTTTCTTTTTGTTCAATAAATTTGTTTTGTTTCTTTGATGAAAAAAAGGCAAAAAACAAGACACAACAAATGATCAAATGGATAGGAATGAGGATTGATTAAAATTGGTAGACAATCATGCGTACCCAATGATAACCCTGACCTTCAACATGATGTTCATTAAAAGATGATCATTTTTGCATCAATTTACTTTTTCTTTGCATTAATTTGTTCCTAAGTAGATGAACAAATAAGAGAATTGAAAAAGCAAACTGTAATCAATTGAGATTTTCTTGCTCATCTAAATTGAAAGACTAACAGTAATCATCGATCAATACATTGTCATCAATTTAAATGGCTAATCAACACATGATTACAAAGCATTCCTAGACTGGATTCATCCACTTTCCTCCTGATCCTTTACCTTGAGTTCAGCAGCAGATGATAACAGACCAGCTCCATAGACTTTAAGTTCATTATCCTGTTTACAGAGGCCAAATTCAATGGTGAAAAAGTAACACTAGAAAAGGGAAAGAAAAGATATGATATTAGTAACAGTTCTGAATGTTATGAAAAACAGAATCAAATTTTCTTCCAAGTTGATACAAAGTATGATTCAAACTCATAGTTGAACGATTCGGATATTAAACTGATTCACATTAAAAAATACATTAATTGTTGGTGAGTTTGGTAAACATTTGGTTTAAAATATTGGAGAAAAAAATGAATCGATAATTTAACTCGATTCAATTTTGCCTTTTAAATGTTATTTTGAGATCAGAATCATCATGTCTGCTGAGTCAATTCAATCATAAAGAAACATTTATTTTGTTTCTTGATAACTTATTTCGTCTATTATATTATGGTTATCATCAAATTGTTGAGGTTATTTTTTTACTCTCATTTTATTATGATATTAATGAATAATAAATATAAAGATTTATTTGTCAAAAAATGAGAATATTTTCCTTCTCACTTGATTAATCTATCAAAATGATTATAATCATTGTCATTGTTAGCAATAAAAAAGTAGTTATCATTTGATTTTTTGGCTGAATTAAGACTATAAATAGATTGGATCTTAAGGGCTAACCAAAAGGTTGTGATTCTCGTTCAATTAAGCACAATTATCAAGAAAACATGTTTGTAAATTAGTTTCTTGATCTATCTTGGTAATCATTAATATTGATAATAATGAAGTTTCATGATGATTTGATCAGAGAAAAGGGTTTTTGGGCAAGTTTCCATTGTTATTGGGGTGTTTCAGTGTTTGATTGATCTCTGTTAACCATCGGAATTGATTAATTTCAAATGATTAATAGATTGATATGTAAATGGACATTTCATCAAGCAAGACTTTAATTAAGAATAATGTGAAATTAATTTTGAAAAAGTCAAATCTCAATTGATAAACAACCATTAATTAACATTTGTAAGTTTCCTTTAGTTAATAGTTTTTGTATAGCTGTTGTTGATCATCGAAAGGTTAAATTTGGAGCTTTTTTTGCAATTAAAAATTTTGATTACAAAAAAAGACTCAAATCAAAGGGAAACTGATTGAGGCTTGGAAGTTGGGATTGAAAACTAGTTATGAGTTGGAAAGGAAAAAATTGATTGAAGTAAATTGTTGGAAATGGATTACTTGGACATTTGGTTATAAATGGGTTCAATAAGATCAAGAAAAATGGTTTCTTCTGTGTTTTGTTTTAAATTACATAATCTGATCCTTATGATTAAGGTTGGCTTGAAATGTAAATTATATCATCAATTTGTCAACGAGAAACAAAAATGACCAGCTATTTGGTCACGCAAATAACAGCCTCAACAATAGACGAAGAAAAAGTGAATTTAGCCTTTTTCTTCGTTTCCTTTTTCACTCAACTTGACTTTACTTAATCAGAGATATTGACCAGTAATGTCAACGAGAATAAGCCTACAAAAAAGTATAACCATTTAACAGTAAGTTAGACGTTCTCCCTGACTCTGGGAGGAAGATGAAAATGAAGATGAAGTATCTTATATAAGATATAAGAAGGTGGAAAGTCAAGATGCAGAGGGTGAAAGAGTGAAGATAATAATGATGAAAAAGGCTTGCTTGATAAATGTAAAAAGTTGACAGTTAACCAGGGTGAAGAGGAGGATGATGATATTTTTTTACCGTAGCCAGCTTTTCAACTTCTTCATCACTGGCTCCCAATGAGGCTAGTCCAATCTCTTGTGAAAATTGAGCAAAACTTTCATCTGCTAGTAATGGACAATGTCCAAGGATTTCATGGCAACAGTCTGGTTCTGAAATTAAAAATTACAGTAAATTAGTTTCTTTTTGCGTTTGGCTAAAAATTTACATGAATGTTGGTAGTTTTGAGTAAATAATGATACGATTAATGATGCACATCTATTTGGATAAGATTTATTAGCTAAACATGGTGAGGTTGCAGACTATCTGAAATTTTAATACTCGAAATTTGAGGCGTTTAAATATTGAATGATTTTTCTGGGTTTCTGGGCTTGTTGTGAATATTGTCTGACAGTCGAGGTAAAACTGTGACACTGCTTTGCTTAATTATGCAGTCAGTGTTTGATTAGAGCTTAGTTTATGGTTTGGTAATGTATTACTTGATTGTTTGATTTTTGTTGTTGCTGTCGTAAGTAGTTGGTATTAATACTGCGTGATACTATTTCCAAACTTTCTGGTTAATTCATGTCTAAATGGTCTGACTTGGATTGATATTGTATGCATTTATTTGATCCAGGATTAAATAACCAGATTGACTGTGACATTAATCGATCAATATATGAATTGGTTTGCTGTGTAACCATTCACTTTAGAGTTACCTGGAGTGTAAAATGGATCACTTGAATGTCTTATGTATTGGGTACAGTGGAATACTCTGAATGCTAATCCAGCAAGAAAATCTCGCGCAGATAAATAGCCAGCAACCGGTCTTAACGTAAATCCAGTGCGATCTGTAATCAAGCGAAAGTTTGAAAATTAGTTAGATTGTGTGCAATTGAAAAGTGAAAGAGATAATAATAAAGCCTGCATTTGCAGCGAAATAATCAAATGCAAATTGGCAAGTTGAATAAAAAGAAGACAATACAAAAATATTTGTTGTGTAATGTAGTCTCACCAGATGGCAACACTTCAATCGAATTCAAAGAATCCATTTTTATGTAACTTTTTGATCGAGAATCTCAATTCCTAAGTCGTAATTAAAAAGATCGAGCCCAAGATGGGACGGGAATGGGAAGATCTTGAGAGATAAGTCCCGAATGTGGAGAAATTTCTTTGAAACTATTGGCTCAAATGATTAAGTGAAGGCCAAAATAATCGATTTATTGACTTTTTAGGTAATTCAATCTTTTCTCATGTGCAACCGTGATCCGTCAGATAATGGGAATAGACAGAATCAGCTTATTCTCACTATTCGTGGGTACTTAATTACGTTAGTCCATGAATCTCAATCTTGTTTAATAGATTGATTAAGCTTAAAATTTTCATTGTAAGCTGAATACTAGAGCTTTTAAATTGAAATTCATGAAAAACTATTAAATCGAATTCACAAAAAAATTGAAATGAAATTTGGGGAGATCCAAATCAATTTAACCCTTTTCCATTGAAAAATTATTCCAATTTTCTGGCACATCACCGGTAGCATTAAAAGTTCATTCAGGTCGAAAGTTTGACTGATTTCAGCTCGAATCGCATTTTTCCAGGATCGATCTTCCGAGAAATTCTTCAATATTTTCTGTCATCCCTAATAGCGACAAATCCTGTTTGAAACTCTATTAGCGTGTGTTCAACACACATTTAGCTTCTCGTGTTTAGTTGCTCAATCGAACGGAGAAACTTACTCTTAAGAAACTGTGATATATCCTCCAATTGTGGTATATTGTCCTTTCGATAGCCACAGTATCTGATGAGAAGAGACAAATTTTTGTTGAACTCTTTGCAAGCATGTTTAGAGTAAAGTTTGGTTAATTCTTCAAAAATAATTCCCCATGTTTTAATTTCAATTGTTGTATATTCAACTCGAGGGACAGGATCACCGCTGAAAAGAGAGAAGATTCTTGATTATATTTTTGCTCATAATTTTGGTAAACGCAATTTGTGGATTGTGTCGTGTTTTAGACTTTTTCAGTTTGATTTGAGATGAAATTACACTCAAATGATTCTATTCTTACAACTATTGTTTACTATTATAATAAGATTGCTCATAGCTGCAGTTCTGTGATGATCATTAGCATAAGATCTTATTCATTGGTATAAAGCATCACTCTCTACTCATACAATTCATGTCAATTAGAATTGCATAGAAAGTTTGGAATCTACTCTTGGAATTCACCTTTTCTCAAGACGTCATATAGCTAATATGCATATAATACACTTTCAAATGTGTCGATTCACTTTCATCAACTTGATCAGAATATTTTCATTTCCTAATCTTAACACAATCACTTTTATTCTCAACTTAAGTTAAACTATTTTTACTCCAATTTCCTTTCTGTCTCTCCTGTCGTAACCATAACTACTGTTCATGAATCCTTGTGGTAATTGGTTAAATTGTATCATCGTCAGGAAATGGTAGTTATCTTGGCTCTACACTTAACAGAAAAAAATAAAATACCGATTAAATGAATATCATCTTCGAGTTCTCCTAAAAGACTTCAATTATAATGGAAAGGTGGATTTTTCCAACTTTAAATTTAGAGAAAAGATTTCATCGCAATTAACGAATACACCAATCTATTTTAACACTAGGTGTGTAACCTGTGATTCTCTTGTTCCAACATAAAAAATCATCAATTGTTGTCAATCAAAGAGCGCAACCAAGCATATTCACAGGTTTAATAAGGAGTGGAAAAACATCTGTATCAGGATTGGTAATAATTCTTGTCTCAAAGTGGCTTTAAACCTTGCTATTATCAATGCCTTTGTTCACAACACAATCCACAATCGGTGTAATAAATAATAACTTGATGAGGCTACATACTGTTTATAGCTGAAAGCAACATCAGCAAAATATTTCCTCCTTTCACGATAAACCGGATCTTTGAAACCCTTTAGATTGAAAGATTATCCATTTAGGCAATTTGGAAGAAATAAAGAAAAACACAAATGTAATCAAAGGATAGTATCAATTTCAAAGGAAAATATCGATGAAATAAACAAACCAGAAAATGAGCAACAGTTTATAACAATTATTGGAGACCAATTTGATCACTCACTATTTTATTTTCTTTTATTGAAGCTGTTAGTTTGATTTTTTTAGATGTAAAATATTGTTATTCAAGGTATTCAACTAGATTTTTACAAAAATTAAAAAAATAATCCCAATGTCTAGACATTAAGACAACTACTACAGTAACAGAGCTTAAAGCTAACATTGTCCGTTAAGCTTAACTCTTTGTTTTAACTGTTAACAGACATAATGGCGCCAGCTTTTTAAATTCAACTTTCTTTTTGTAAATCTTCTGGATCTTTGAGAGTTTCAATTTGTTGAAAGTTAATGATTAAAAATCAAGTTTCAAATGTTATTTTTAATTGTTTCAACAGCTAAACTATACTCTAATTTTGTTCAACGTAATCATTTCAATGTGAGTATTTTTTGTCTCTTTCTTTTTGCAATTTGGCTCTTTTCTAATGAATGTTATGTACTCTATTCAGTTTGGAGATAAAGACAACTCACCGGATGGTCTGCATCCAATTCGGATCCATACATGAGAACTCGATTTGACGAATAATCTAGTTCTGATATTCTTTTAGGAAACCAAGGCATTCCATCTTGAAGAATTTCTAAACGGAAAAGAGATGGTCAGAAATGGCGATGCAACAGAAATATAGAAAAAGATAAATTTTTTGACGCATTTACCATTGTCTATGGAAGCCTGTGACAACAATCGTGATTTACTTTTGCTGCGAGTAACAGCCCGATGTTTGGACCTTTCAAACTCTTCATAAGTACAGCAATCAACTTCATGTCTTTAGTAAAAGATGGTCAGTAAATGCAAAATAAACAGATTTAAAATTCAAAGTTACAACGGAAACAAGGACAGTGTTGAATATCATTTTCAAAGTTGATATAAATTTTTTACCTCAAATGGTGAAGAAGCTCATTCATCCGTTGAGAATCATCACAATCAATGTTAACAAAGATTTCATACTCTGATTCTCGACGTCGTGACTTTCTGGATTCGATATGGTGAACATTGATGCCCAATTCCTTCGGAAATACAATCAATTGGCCAAATTTCAATAAGCCTCAACTTCAATAACTAGTTCAAAGTGATGGAAAATTTTATTCAAAACCTCTTACCTGGAAAACCCGCAGAGCGCGAACCAGTCCACCAACTTGGTTGTGAAGTGAAAAAACCATTGCATTGGAACCAACAATATTTGCCTGACAATGAGTTGATTCAATTTCATTTGAATCCACTTTTTTCTCGACCAATGCACCTTCACATCCAATTTCTTTTTCTCTTTCCATATTTTGTAGCAATTTTTTTCCAATCTCACCATTCTGATCAATAACATCACAATTGGCCTTATTCTTCTCTGTTTCAGTGATAGTTTCTGTACCAAGTTCATCACTTGTCTTTTGTTTATCAGCAACAGTGACCTGCGTTGGTGGCTGTGGTGGCTGTGGTGGCTGTGGTGGCAAAGTACTGCTAGTAAGAGGGGGACAAGGTGATGTTGATCGATCACCACCAATCTCTTCATTTAACTCCTTTAGTCGTTCGTCTTTCTCGATGAAGATTTTTTTCTGTAAAAAGCGTATCACAATTTGCTGAAAAAATATTGTCCCAGGATAACGTGAAATATAAAGGTTCATCTAAATGTCATCAAAAACAAACTCAGGATTAAGGAAGGTGATGGCCAATTCAATTACAAGCAACAAAAGGAAACTCTGTTTCTTCCCTTTCTCTTGGAGCAATGAATATACTTTTAATGGTCAACTACAGAATGTATAATATACTAGGTCGATATGTTAATGGTGTTTTTCAGGAGTTTTTGTTTTGTTAAGGCAACGTCAAACTTTTAGTTTTGGTCTGAACCTTTTTGGCTGTTTTTATCATCCTCATTTTCATTCTCATCGTCATAATCATCATCATCATCAGTAATAGTGGCTCAACTAAAGGTAAGTTGATAATGATGTCGTTGGGCTGTCAGCTAAGAAATCGATCGAAGTGAAGAAGTGATTTTTTTCCCTCTCACTCTTTCATTCACTTTCACAGATTGTGTCTCAAGTATTCTGATAATTCGGTTAACTGGGAGTACAGTGAGGAGTTAACTGGAAGGAGGGAAGATGAGGTAAGAAGAGGAGGAGAAAGAGGGTTTAATGGATGATGATGATTCTTTGATGGAAAGTGAATTGTGGAGGTTTCTGTGGTGATAAGAAGGAATCATTGGGCTGTTTCGTTTTATCAGTTGGAATATTATTAGCATCATTTAAAGCCAAGGAAAAGGAAACTTTTATATGAAGCAAAACATTAACAGGTTACTTTTACTCATCATTTTCATCTCTCTTTGTTCGTCTTCCTCATCATCTTCGTCTTCTCATTCAACTTCGACTTCAATCTTCTTGTAAAGGTTAAACCTGTTGATAGGCGGATGATGATTCAAGATGATGATGAAGTTAACTTTCAATCTATGCTTCACTGAGTTTTGTCTCAAGATTGTCAACATAGATTGTTCATATTAATAACACTTCTAACTGTACCTGCACTTCATAATCGCCTCTCATTCAGCATAATTTTATTTAAAAAAAGATCACATTAACGACTGTTAAATAATACATAAATTAATCCAAGACTCATTCATTTAGATAATCTTGATTAGGAAAAAAAGTAACAATATCATCAGAAAACTTAGAAAACTGAAATCAAACGATAGTCTTTGAATCTTAAGTGAATTGGAAGAAGCGGAAATTAATTTGATTTTTTTTTCTCTTTCCTTTTAGTTTTACATTGGCACGCAATTTACTCAATTATGTGGCTCTTTCATGATTACATGTGGCGATGAATATGAGAATTACGATTTAATCAACTTTTCTTTTAATTTTTCAATTTTGGTGACTTGAGAAATGCTTAAACAAGTTTGTCTGTTAAACATTGACTGGCAGTTGATTTGTGATTAAATGCATTGTAAACATCTTGCTGTTGGTGATTGTCCTAATTGGATTTGACTTGAATTAATCTTGTCCTCTTAGTACTGTTTAGTTGATTTAATTAAGTTAATTTTTTACTCACCTTTAAATCTTCTAGATAAGAGTCTGAGAAGTCAGGTAAACTGGCAACTGCTGGAGTTGAACAGCATCGTCGAGTTTGAAATCTATAGCGTCGTAAATTGTTCATTCTTCCTTGATTTTGATGGCAAATCTCACAGTTAACACTTTTCTGTTGATCAATTAGTTATTTTGAAACTATTACCAGTTACTCAACAAGATTAAACAATTTAAAGGGATAAGTTTGTTGTGGCGATAATTTGTTCGGTGAAGGAAGGACGATGCAACTTTGGGTTGAGCTATACACTATGGGCACAGGCAAGTTGAACATTTCACTTTGGGTTAGGGTTAATGCGCAACTCTTGATCAAAAAAAGTCATCTTCATTATTAACATTTTATCATTTTAGGATTTATAGTTTCATTTCATTGAGAGATTGATTCTGTTCCAACAATTCATTTCAGTCAAAAGTTGATGAGCAGTAATTAAATAACTGTCACTCTGTTTCTATGAATTCACAAAGCTGCAATGTTTCGCCGTTCGGTTAAAGATCACTGATTGGCGTAAAAAAGAGTTTGATTTTTCTCTCATTCCATTTGCATTGTATGGAGAATTGAGACACAATTTTGGGCGAAAAATGAACTAATGGATTTTATTTAAGGCTAGTTACTTAGACTCTTGAATACTGTTGCACTCATGTCATCAAACCTGATTTGTTAGATCTACATGATTTACTTAAATGCTGAAAGTCTTTCATAACATCACCTAGAACCCGATTTATTTAATGCAAACACTTACAATCTGTTCATTGCTTTTATTAAATTGTCTTCTCGTCTTGATTTAAAAAATTTAATAAATTTGTAAGATTCATTTCAATTCTGGTTTATTTAACGCTATTTCAAGTTGCTTTAAGATCGCTTTTTGTCTAATTTATGCTTTGCTGTGAATTATTTCTGTAAGATTTTTTAAATCTCACTATCTTTTATGGGTAAAGAATGTTAATTTATTAATTTAACAATTTATTAATAGATTTATTGATAAATTTTATAAACTATGAATGGAAAAGTTTTCATTTGTTTCTTTATTTAGGGTTTCAAGTTTGAGTTTAGCGCCACTACAAAAATGCTTTTTAGATCAGCTGTGGAAGGCATGTTGCAAATTGTTTACCTTTTTCTGTGATAATTAAATGTTTTTTGTGGACGCAACTATTTTATATTGTTATTAATTGTCATCAATATTCACCTTTAGATGGGGAAAGTTAAAAATAATGAAACTAAATCAACCACATCCTTGGTACCACAATTAAAAGTCGACTGGCGGGAGCTTAGTAAGTTTTTTTTTGTAACTTAATGCAGTATTTTATCTTGATGATTGATTATCTTTCTTTTTGTTAATTTTTACCAATTTTATTTTTTAATAATTTTCTAGGACGTCAAAAGCAGAAGTGGAAGAAGGAAAAAGAGGACAAGAAAGCTTTGAAACAGGTGAAAGAGGAGGAAAAGAAAAAGGTTGAAGAGGATAACAAGAAGAAAGAAGAATCAGAAGGAATCCATTATACAATTAGCGTTGCCGTTCCTGGTTCAATATTGAATAACGCTCAATCGCCCGAGCTAAGGTCTTATCTGATAGGTCAGATTGCACGAGCCTGTGTCATATTCAATTGTGATGAAATTGTAATCTATGATGAATATGCTATTCCAGAAAGTTTGAATGACGAAGCCTTGAGGCGTGATAATAGGAGAAGATGTTTAGCACAAATGGCTAAAGTTTTACAATATTTAGAATGTCCACAATATTTAAGAAAACATTTATTTCCATTACACGAGGATTTGCAATATGCAGGTTGGTTTTTTTTCACTGATTTCTATTCTGTCAGCAGTGATATGATTTTGAAAAATTATTGATCATCAAACTAACTAAAAAATCGTTTGCAATTTTATTATGTAGGTCTTTTAAATCCACTTGACACCGGTCATCACCTCAAAGAATCAGATGAATCACGATTTAGAGAAGGGATTGTCACCAACAGCGTTCACCCTGACAAAGGAGGTTGCTATATTAATGTCGGCTTAAAGAAGGATGTTTTCATCAAAGAATCGTTAACTCCTGGTTTGCGAGTAACTATTGAACTGGATACTGATCAATCATCAAAAAAGTTAAAAGGAAAACCAATTCCTCCCAGTGGACCAAAAGATCGAGCAGGTTTATATTGGGGCTACAGTGTTCGCTTAGCTTCGAGTTTATCGGATGTTATAGCTGAATGTCCTTATGATGGTGGCTACGATCTCACTATCGGAACATCAGAGCGAGGTGATAATGTGGATGAAAAAATCGATTCACTGCCTGATAATTTTAAACATTGTTTGATTGTTTTTGGTGGTTTAAAGGGTATTGAAGCAGCTATTGATGCTGATACCAAATATTCAAATATCGGTGACCCTCGCGATATTTTTCAATTTTATCTGAATACATGTCCGAATCAAGGATCTAATACCATAAGAACAGAAGAAGCCATTTTAGTCTCCTTAGCCGCCTTAAGACCTAAATTAATGAAACCAAATAAAAAATCTTTGACATAGATAACAATGGCATTAACTTATTGTTATTTAAAAATTTAAAACGTGATAATACGGACAAAATCAAAGGCAATTGTTCCTCTCGAAGAAAAAAAAGAGTTCTGATAAAGATTGACTCAACTTTTAAACAATTTCATAATTTTTACCAATGGCTAATACTTTTGTGGCTATTTATCACTAAATCGTTTATCAATTATTGAGTAGATTAAATGTAATCAAGCCAACTGAATTGAAAGATTCCCATAAGGTATATCGCTTTGTGAGCTTAAATCTTAATGGATGAATCATCCTACATTCGTGTTGAAAATAACAAAACCTGTAAGATTGTTAATCTTGATCTGGGGCAATACAAAAGGGGCATAGAGAGAGCTTAATTATGGCTATCTAGTGACCTCCCAATACAAGTTGACCATCTTGAAAGGCCAAAACTCTAGTTAATCAGTTTAAAAAAACTTGTTTTCCCCCAGCAACTTTATGCCATTAGATGTCGCTGTGTCTGACTCCAGTACTGAAATATTGAATAAAGAGTTGATTTCCAGTGTGGTGTTCAAATTTCATTGTTCAAATTTGTTTAATTATATATTCCAATTCTTTATCTTTTTCATAATTTCTTCGGTTATCACATCCTTAGCATGCCTTCTGTTTCAAACCCCAATAAAGTTGAAAAATCAACTTTATCTGACCCTCACCAAGAGCCTCTTTCCAAGGTTCAGCTCTTGGTAGATAAAAAGATCCGTAACTTAGAAAAGAGAAAGGTAAGAAAACACTTTTTATTTCTTGATTGTCACTAGTCTCTAATTTTCATTTAGTTCGGTTGCTTAATTTCATTGTCTTCCATGTTAGTTAAATAATTTGTCAGTGTCTTCTTCAACATATATCAAGAGGTTTCATTTGTACCTTGATTTTAGTGCGTGTTCATCTTCTTTCTCTGTCTCTGTCTCTTTCTGTTTCTTGGTTCTTTTCTCTGCTTCTTTCTTTCTTTCCTTTCTCTTCCTTGACCGGGCAACATGGTTTTCTGACTTGAAAGATAGCTGAGAAAATTGGTGAGTATGAGAATCAGAAAGAAGTTTGAGTGTGAACAGAATAGGCGACAATAATTTTTTTTCAAGATTTTTAGGTTTACAATTTGATTGATTGCCTTTTTTCCGGCTCACATGGAGTGTCTTAATGATCAGCTTTATCTATAGCCAATCTAATCATAGTTTGAAGCAAACATTATATTCAGAGCTCGGTTTTCATACCTGTAGAAAGAATGTAAAAACATGCCGGTTATTGTGTTGCCTTGATCCTTTGTGTATTTCTCAAACCTGAAAGTATCTTTGGGTGTTACATTAGAACTGGCTTTTGGTATTTCTGCTTACTGATGTTTTTTGTCTGTGGGTGTCAATTATACCCTTACTTTGCTTGCTTATCCTCTGAGATTGAATCTGAACCTTTTGGACTTTATATTTTATTTTACGTTTAACTAATAAACTCATTTTTCTCTTTCTTTTATTCATAACAATTGAATCCAGTCTCGTCTGGAGCAGTATAGAGCTGAGGCTAAGTCCGGAAAGGAATTAAATCTAGACCAGAAGAAAGCTGTTAAAAGATATGATGAAGTCACTGAGATGTTGGACTTCTTCCGAGAATTCCAGAAAAATGTCCAATCTATCTTTGCTGATGTAAGTATTTTCATCACAACCCATTGTCACCATCAAATTTTTCAAATTGACTAAATTCTCTATTCTATTTTATTTAAACAGCATGCTAAGCAGATGAAAAAATTAGCAAGAAAAGAACGTCCTACTAGAGATCCTAAAGAAATAGAACGTTTAAGATTAGTTTTTCAATTTCAAGATTTACTTGGAAGTCTGAATGCTGATGTTAAAAATGATTTCTTGAACGGAACTAATGGAGCTACTGTAAGTTCAATCAACATCTATTTTCACTGTGCAATGGTGGCATTAACCTCTCTTTTTTCTGCTACAGCAAATTACCGAGGAGAAGCTTCAACATCTGGAAGAATTCAGCAAACTGATTGACTCTGAGAAAAATAAAGTTGATGAGACTTCTAATAAACCACATATTAAGACGGCAGAACGTTATTTAGCCTTGGTCGAAGGTGTACGATCAGATGCGTTCAAAGGAACATCTTACAAGGAATTGAAAGAAACTTTAACTTCCATCAACGAATGTGGATATTTTAACGTGTCCGTTCAGAAGTCTGTCTCTATCAATCTAGGAACATCAGCGGTCAGTAAATCAAGTCTATCTTCTGCAACCAGTCAACCCCAGCAGCAGCCTCAAGTCGCAGAAAGTGGTAATATTTCTAGGGTAACAGACGTAGAGGAAATTAGTAGGCCCAACTTCGAGTCTAGCCCCATCCAACCTACAGTACCCAGTGATTCTCAAATACCTTCTAAATCTGATATCAGTGGAGGTAACAAATATCACCAGTCCCAACAACCTCAGCATCAGAATAAACCTAGGAATTCTAATTCCAACCAACCTGGTATGAACGAGATGTTATCCAATGTTGGAGGTCCTGGTTCAGTATCGAATAATACTGTCACTGCTGCCCCTAACAGTTACAATTTCTTGCAAGAGTCTCGCTTAGAAATGGAGAATGCACCTCATATGGACCCTGCTGTAGTCGCTATGGCACCTGTAGCTGGTACATATTCGACACCTTATGGAAATAATCAGAGTGTGGAAGCCTTAGCAGCACAATTTGCATCCACAGGTATTCCACCAATGTCATCAGTGACCAATAACATGACTAAAGGTGTTACAACCTATGAGAATGCTGGTCCAACACATCAACCTATACCAACTCAAACTTTCACTAACCAAAGGTTTACGGCCATGATGACTGGTGGGACTTTCGTGCAACCAGTTCCCATCGCAAATCCATCATTACTTGGCCTACCTGTACAATTAACCGGTCAATCCTTGGCCTCTCATCCGAGTGGCACCAATGAGCAAATGACTCAAAATCAACCTAATAATGATAATAACCAGAGTCATGGAATGAGTATTGGTAATATGTCTCAGAACATGTCTGGCTATGGACCGGAGGCTAACTTTACTCAGTATCAGGCTTCTCACCATCACGATAACTCTAATACTAGAATTAATCAAGGACCTAGTCGAGATAAACAACACTACCAAGGTGATGATAACGCTGCACAAGGTGGTTATGGGTCAAACTATGGACGATTCCGTCGAGGTGGCGGCCGTGGTGGTGGAGGTGATCGAAACGCTGGCCCTCCACGCTCCAACAAGTACAACTCTGTCAACGGTTACAGCTCCCGTGGACGAGGAGGTGGTTCAGGTATCCGAAGCTCTGGCAAACCTCAGGATAAACCCAAGAATGTCACTGATAATCGAAATGTTTCGAATCAATGGTCTTAAGAGTCCTAACCTTAACATCTTTTCCCTTGAGTAATAACCTTAAGAATTCCTTTCTCACGTGAAAACCTCGTTTAATCGAGTTTTTCCATTCTGAGCCCAGCAACAACTCCGAATTCCTCTTCTATTGCTCTCTACCTTTTCTGGTTCCCTGATTTTTTTGAACTTACCCTAATTCAGTTTTCTCTCCCTCTTCCTCTCCTGTGCTCATTGTTCCCTTTTCAGAGCTTGATCAAGAAGCATTAAAATAAAAACGATTCGCTTTCAGTGAAAAAGAATAAAGTAGAAATCTGATTTGTTAAAATATTTGATTTATTAATTTTAAAATAACAAAATACCAAAAATGAGCTAGATTCAATCTACTAAATCTTTATTTAGATGGTTTAACTTCAATCGGTTGAAAGCTCTTAAATGTGTATACACACATGTATTGATACAGGAATGAATTTTAATCAGCCGTAGATAGAAATGCAACATTTGATTAATCAAACAATTGTGCGACAAATTGCATTTGTTAATTTATAACTATTATTAAAAATTAGTTAATTTGGATAAGGATTTGTACAGCAGTTTTCATGGCGCCACCTAATCACAGCAGTCTAGCAATTGCGCCATCTTCTGATCTTTATATATAATTTCCACAAACAGTTTTTTTGTAAATATGATATGAAAAGCCTGAACTGTCGGGTTAAATCATTACCTTTTTATTGATTTAGAGAGTTTATAAAATAATTGATGAGTTAATTTATGTCTATTAAGTGGTTGACCATCACTTCTCTCAAGGTTCAGTTGGTATATCTTCTTTGGTTCACCAATTACGTATTTTCAATATATGTCCCTTGTGAAAATCTGTAAGTTACTAATTTTATCTTTTTAGGTCGTGATTTATCTAATTAAATTCAACTTTGTTGTGCTATTGATCATATATTCAATGCTTACTTTTTGTCTATTGGTTACCCTTTGTGTAGAGACCTTGATTTCTTGGAATGTGAAGCGCCTTTGGATCTCAAAGGTAATAAAACTGCTTATGATGAATTGAAATTTGGTTGCTTAAAATTTGGTGGTCAAAATTATGATGAGGTCAATCGAACAAAAGTAAACTGTACTGTTTTACCTGGTATTGAATGCATTGGCAGTAGAACTTTCATGAAAGACGGATTTCCCTGTATAAAGTAAGTACTCAGACTTCAGTTATGCATTTAGACTGTTTTCCTGTTAGAGCTTTAGATTAATTACTCCTGTTTTCTTATCTCTCAACAGATATACTGGACACTATTTTGTTACTACTTTGCTTTACTCCATTTTATTGGGATTTCTTGGAATGGATCGATTCTGTTTAGGCCATACGGGAACTGCTGTCGGTAAATTACTTACCTTAGGAGGAGCTGGTATCTGGTGGATCATTGATGTAATCTTACTTTGTACAGGACACTTAATGCCAGAAGACAACAGTAATTGGATGCCTTATACCTAATTCATGTAGAAATTGTACAGTTTCAGGCCTTGTCCTTTTCGCTCATCTTGTTTATATTTTTCAATTTTTACCGACTAACTCAAGCAAATTGAAAATGTGTCATTGTTGATACAATCATCTCATTTCTATTGGTTTGGAAATCAAATTGTGAAACGTTGACTTCCTAAAGGTACAACATTGAAGATTAATTAAAGAGTTTTGTATATCTTAAAATGAAATATTTATTTGGTGTATATTTAATATTATTTATAAACGGTGGCACAATCAAAATACAGTCTATGGAAGGTTACCATTTTTATTCAATAGCAGTTATGATTAATCTCTTGATTTTTCAATATCAACGTCCAAAAAGCGTCATGATTAAGATTGTGCATCTAGTTCAATTTTGGGAAGGATCTTGTGATAACCTTAACTGAAAAAGATGATGAAAATAAGATTCATAGTGGAAACCACTGATTAATCTGATTAGTACGAAAATTTTCACTTCATATGGTAACCTGACTAGAAAAAAAGTGTATATGATTGTGTTATTTGTTACATTTTATAATTAGCTTTATTATAATTATTAATATAATGTATTTATGTGTGGACGTTTGAAAGTAGATATTATTCCCCAAACTTGACGTCTAATTAATGATGAATAAGTTTTGGAATGCACGATAAATGATGAAAAGTTATGAGAATTAATGTTCATCGTTGAGTATAAAATGAAAACATTGCATGTTTCATGTTTCAATTGGCAGTTGATTTGTGACTATATAATTAGAAGCAGAATGAAAAAAAAACTCTGATTCTGAGTTTATCTTGAGATCATTGCTTTCCAAGTGCTTAATTATTAAATGTAAAATTTCCATACAGATATTGGTTGTTTGTACATTGTTTGACTACAGCTCTGTTCGCGACCACCAAAGACATACATACATAACTGCCAATGATGCTGGTGAACTTTACTTCGAACCGGAGAATACGAAGACCATTTCCGAGGTCCAGGTGAACTAGGAACAACTACCTCTCTTATCACGTTTGCTTGCTGCCAAAGTCTATTTTCATGATTGTTTCTTTTGTTGTCTATTGAACCAATATTCATTGAACCTTCTCTTGGCTCTTGGCTTCCGTTGACTTTCTCCTCGTTTGTTTTAGGGTTAGTTGACTGTCCACGGAGAGAGGCTCGTTCACGAGCACGAGTTCTTACATCTTTACTCAATCTGACATTGAAACCCTCGTTAGTTTCAGTTTTAGCAGGAAAAGGCAGAGAAGATAATTGCTTCAATTCAAAGGAGGAATTATCACGCGGAAGACGAGACATTCGTCGAGGTACAAATGATAAATTCGATGAAGATGATATATTTGTTGAAGATGTTGTTGGTAAATGGGAATGTTGATGCCCTGAATAATGTGGTCCACAGTGGTTATGAAAAGGATTGTATACAGATGAAGATGAGGGTGGATCAAAGGAATCCTCTGAAAATGAATGATATCCCGAAGAGTGTGACATTGAATGAGGTAACCCTTGACTTTCAATACTTGGTGTGTACAGAGTAGCAGATGAATTATAACCACTTGTTCGGGCTGTTGCATCAGCAGGTGAAGCCAAAGCTTTGTAAAAATGATCATCAAAGTGAATCGATTCGGGATTAATATTGGTTGCATTCGCATCTGAAGAGGAGCCATTGGGATGATGAGAGGAAATTTGTCTTTCGTTGGCTGGTTCTCTTGTTGAATGTGTTGTCTCAATTATCATTGAATCTCCATTAACAATTATCTTATTGTAATCATCTTTAGTAACTGAATGGCATGTTGATGAACCATTATCTCGATTGGTGTTAGTGCTTGCACTGCTTGTGTCTTCATCACCATTGATTGAGCTTCCATTGGGTGTATCATTTGAATCTTCTGGTGATTGAATCCGTCGGCCGTAGGGTGGTGAAGGAAAGCAAAGACTATAATAGCTCATTGATTCACTAACAGTGTGCCGTTTGTTTAATACTTTATTATGACCATCGCGAACTCCTCCAGAGGTTGATGAAGATGGGACATCATATTCACCGTGTTCCATTAAAGATTCAAGATGAAATAATCCTTCCAATACTTCAGATTTAGGTCTAACCTTTGTTCCATATCTTAAAGCTCCTTCGATTCTTTTTCGTACAACAAACTCATGATGAGTTTCCAATACAGGCTCCGAACTTTGACTTTTACACATTTTAAGTATATCAAGATCACATTCAAATTCACCGTCATCGCCATCTTCATCTTCCTGTGCACCAACGTCTCCTTCACCATCTTCATCAAATGTATTTTCTTGATAATTATTGGAATGATTATTGACTTTTTTGCTCTCATTCATGTTAACCTTGTTATTGCCATTATTATTGTTTCCATTGAGTATTGATTTATCATTAATACCAGGCTCTTCAGTTAAATTTTCAGCTTCAATTTTACCATTTTCCTGAAAACCATTGGCTTGATTGTGCAAAATGTTATAACTATTTGATGAGATACTTCGAACCAATCGACTTTGAGATATTTTGTCTTTCAAGGATTTCCTGAAAAATATGAAAAGATAGAAAAAGGTGAAATTAAAATTTAAAAACATTAAGATTATTATTGATCGCACATATTAAATTAAAACCAACTACATATGAATCAGTAAATGTGACGATTGATGGTAAAAATATAAGTCGACCAGTACTCGAATTTGATTGATTGGCTGTCTAATGATGTTAACTTTCAGGTAAACAATCAAGAGCACAGAAACAAAAAGTGTAAAGAAAAGTGATTAATTTTGGGGTAAAATTGATGCAAATGTAAATATCGAGTCATTTTTTCCTCTTTATTAACATATTTTTTTCCATAGCAAACATGGTTACTCCTTATTACTACTAGTTAAGTACTTGACAGGATTTACTCAGGATCATCATCTTTTCCGTGTAAATAAATCGTTTTTAAATTGATTTATCTCTTGTTTACAGCATCAACCAGATGAAAGTTCAAGAATAATCTAGAGTAGAAATGGTTGAATCATGAGTTCAATTTTTTCAACTTTCAACTTCTATCGTCATCATCATTATATTTTTGCCTTCCGTTGTAAATGTTGATATTAATAAAATGGTTTCGAGTAATAGTTTTGCTTGAATTGCCATATTTCATGCGAGGTGAAATGGATGAAAAAATTTCCGTTAACTTGAGTGGAGCCAATTATGGTTCAAAAATGGTCAAAAGATTGATTCATAGGTTGAAATTTTTTCTCATACTAATCATATTATAATGTGGTTTGAGTAAATCAAATTTACTACTTTTATAAAGAAGCCTTCAGGGTTAGTATTGAATTGTATTCAATATTGTTGCATAAAAGGTATTGGAATAACCAACGTAACCATGTTTATGTGTATTATCATGTTTTTAACCCTGATGTTAATGGGAAATAAAAGTGAACCTTGAAAAACTGTACAACCTGATGTAACCTCGTAAATCTTAATTTGTAAAACTTGGTAGATACAGCTTTTTTATTGACTCTCCAGGATCTACAGGCAAATTGATATACTTTTGGACAGTAACTTGTTTATATCTTCACTTTCTTGTATTACCTCGTTTACCTGGTTTTATTAGAAGTTCTTGGTGTGAAGAGTTTCCCATTTTTCTTTTCTTCCTTCCTTATACCTCAATCTAATATTCAACAGAAAAGGTAAGAAGTCCACAATGTGGGTAAACTAAATGTATTATCAACATCACCTATCATCATTTATCCAGAAAAGTATATTACATTGGATAGAATAATACAATTCCTTCCTTCACCTTGGTTTCTCCCATTTCTTTATTTCAATTCCTTATGAGTTCAACTTGGCTCAGTAAATTTACGAGTCGAGAGACTGTAATTTAGTTATGAAATGATCTTGCTTGATGAGTAACACCTTCAATTGGCAAATGAAACTATACTGAAGAGTTAAGAAGTATATTAGAAAGGAATGGAAAAAACAATGTAAATGTTTTAAAGTCTATAGCAACCTGGAAATCAACACAGTATAGGAAGATTCAATCATGAGGAATCATCAGGGGAATGAGCATTTGTTTTTTCCTTTTTTTCTTTGTGGTATTTGATACAATTGAACATCACTTTTTAGGTGATCCATACTTTGTACATTGAATGAACAGCAGGCAATATATTCAAATAGCATTCAATTTTGCTTATGTAAATCAATGAATCATGTAAGAGGTTGAAAAATTCAATAAACAAATTTGAATTATTTGTATTTGTATTTGTCTTTCCTTGTTTCCACTTTTTTTGTCTTTGTCAACCTTTTCTGAATTTGCATTATCTTTTGCTACTTTTGTTGTGCAGGTGAAAATGAATCTGATGTTTGTAATGGTTAAAGTTAATTACTTCTGACACTGAACATCATGTTTTATCAATTCTCTGCTACATTCTCTTGCTTCGTTCAATTTGTTTTCAGATTTTTCTCCTCTTTTAATGGTTCCACATGTAACACACCATTGATACTGTATATTACAGATTAATCGTTAATCTATGCAACCATAAAAACCAAGGTTCCATTGAATGTTTTCCAAAGTCTTCATAATGATACCACTGTGCATGGTTTTATTCATTCACTGAGTCTGTTCATGGTAAGTGAAAATCGTTCTCAAGTAAATAAGTGTTCACAATAATCTGGCTCCTATCATCAATCTCTGTGATTGTGTTGACATAAACTGTAAAATACCATGAGAATAGTTGCCATTTGTGTTCAGATGAAATAAGACTTATATAATGTCTAAATGAAATCTGAGAACTAAAATACAATGAAAAACAAACACTGGTTTTGTCAAAAAAAGTCACCAAGAATTGATACAAGTTAACAATTGTTAAATAAAATAACAGGTCAAGGATATGTGAAAATAAAGTCTATCACTTCTTTACTTAATTTATCACAATATGTTCCATTGAATCAATAATGAAACTTCTGAAGCAAAAAATAACCAAACATTAATCTCAGCTGTAATTTAATTTAACCAATTTCTAAGACACCAATATTTGATTGAAACATCAAATGGTTTTGTAGATGCTTTTTGTTAAATCAGCATCTTAATGTCTCTTTGTAAATTTTATAATTTGTGCTGAATATTTTCTATCAATCACTTTGTTCACATTCACATGGTCTTCAGATAATTGAATTATTAGATAGCAAAGTATCGAACAACATTACAATTATAAGGATGAAATTTTGTCGTACCTAATCTTGTTTTGTTTTTGACCATTGTTAATCCCATTTTCATCATTTTCATCTCCTTCCTGAGCATCGTCTTCATCATCTGATATGGTAAAGCTTTCTTTCGAACATAACTTCATGGAACGAAATTTGGCTGATTTTGTCTTATTACGATTATTAATGGCATTACTTTGATTGAGATTGTTTCTATTGTTAGCGGCAGGGTTGGTTTTGCCCTTTGTCTTGTTAAGGTTGTTGGGCTCATGTAAGGGTGTTTCTTGTTGTTGATTTTGACCAAAGCACATTGAAATTGATTTGGGTGGCATCAAGTTGTTTGACTTGGATGCTGATTTACTCAAAATGTAACTTGACTTTGATTGTGATCGAGTAATTTTAAGATGAGATTCACTCTCTTCTTTGTCCCAAGCAGCAATGTCCAGTGAAGGATTAGCAACTGCAGTGTGACGACAGCGAGGATTTGGCATTAAACCAACAATATTAATCTTTTCCCAGGTATTTGAAGCTAAATCGCAAGAAAATAAAAGTGTCAGTAATGTTAAAATTGTCAAAAAAACTTGGACAAGTAAAACGAAGACTGGTTTGCTAAGAAACCGATATAAGCTTACCAAAATGATATCGCCATAAATCCTGCAATAGTTGTCCATCTCTTTCACCTCCAAATATAAACATACATCCGAAAGCCTTAATTGCACTGTGACTGTGAAGATTACCCGGTCCTTTATTGCACTTGACTTTACTCCATTGAGATAATTCTGACGAAAAAAAAGAAGATTAAGGACAGTTAATTTTCCATTCCTTTCGCTGAATCAGCGAGTAATTATGAAGGCAAAACTTTTGATTCACTTGATAGAAAACCATAACAACTTTGGTTTAGTGACATCAAGCTAAATGAAAGAAGCGATGTCCATCAAAATAAAAATCAGCTGACATTAACTTGAAAACATAGAATACGCGCTAAAATTATAGCGCCAAATACGAGACGTAAAAAATGCTATCAAGTTTAAATTTAACTTTTCTTGTGAATTAAAGTTAGTTTTTCAATTATCAGTCATGAATATTGAATCATTTAAATTAAAATATATTTTAGCTCTAATGGCTAGCTCAATAAATCGAACAGATTTGTATTTTACCTCTATCTAGCCGTTTGATTTAGTAAATCTGAATTAAACCTTAAAAGCCTTAAAAACATAATCTGGTGCTTATGCAGCAGATAAAAGGGTTTGTCACATGCTCTCATTAGACATGCAATCAAAGTCTAGGAATCACAAGTGATACAACTTATTATATGAAATGTATTATTAATGCCTACCAGGCAATTATTATATGGTCAACTATGCTATCGAATTGTGAGGTTATATTGTGATGAAAATATTTGATTGTTATAATCAATAAATCTCATTAGACGAGGACACAACCCTGCATTGTACACAGCAGCAACTCACTGGCTTGGAGTCAGCTATTTTCATTTATTTCTGTGTAAGCTTTGTTTATTATTGATCTTTTTTGTAATGAAAATGATGGCGATGATTCTATAAATAATAACAATTTAATAATTTGTGAAGGATTATTGATGATGGTCCAAATGTTTCCATGTCTAAGAAAAATCTCAAAGGTTTACTCGATTTCTATATTATTGGACTAAAATTCAATGTATAGCTATTTCCCATCATTTTCTGCATTTTAGACCATTTAATCAACATCATTAATAATTTCCTTGATTTCATATCTTTATTAGATTAATGGTCATGTTAACATTTCATTGTTTAACATTTATCTTTTTTGTCTCTTGGTCAACTATTCAGACAATTGGTTGGACATGGAAAGCCAATAAGAACAGGTAATGATGTTTACTTTTATTGTTACCACCACAGACTCGGCTGGGAATAAAATCTAGCAATCAGATAATTAACTTAAAACGTTTATTTCTTACCAAAATTCCATTTCCAGAAATCACCTTTCTCCTGCAAATCCGTCATGCCTCCATAAACCCACATACAATTGTCATGGACAATAGCTGAATGTGAATGTCTTGGTGATGGTTGATCTGAACAACGGAGTGAACAGCTTACAAGATGCCATTGCTCTAAACCTGTAATAAAATGGAATCGAAATTAGTCAATTTATTCAATTTTCCATCCACTCCAGATCACAAATTTTCACTCAAAATGCTGCTGATTGCTGTTGTGTTTATATTTTCTGCTGTTACCGTGAAAACTACTTATACATGTTCATAATGGAACCAGTAATCATCATGAAATTAATTTAGCTGATTGCAAAGTTCAATTGGTACACCAACAGCATTACAAAGTCAAAATAAGTGAGCAAGTTATGTTTAGATTAATTTAACCAGAATAACCAGGAAAAGTCATTATGGATGCTTCTTTTTTTCCATTCACCAGACAATAATATAACATTTAAAGGCTTTCTGTTCACATAATCTTTACTTTTCCCTCTTCATCTTCCTCATCTTCTTCATCCTCTCCTTCACCATCACCATCATTTGCCTCTTTTCATTTTCATCATCGATTCTCTGCATCTTTTGTCGTTTTTGCTCTTCACAAAATCCCTCCATGATGATATTCTTTCTTTTCTTCCCTCCTCTTCCTCCTACTTCTCTCCTCTCTTTCATCTTCATCCCTACAACTTCTCTTCCTTTTCCTCTTCTTTCATCTCACCTTCTTATCTTTTTTTCTCCATCTTTTCCCCATGTTTTCTTCTTCTTTTCAATATCCTCCATGTTTCTTTGCGTACTTTTTTCTATCCTTTTTCACCTCACAATCACCTTAAGCGTAAAGCTTCTTAAGCAACTCTTGATCATCTTGTTTTAATTGTTAGATAACAAATATCAGACAATTGCTGCTCGTTCATTAATCATTAAATGTTGGTTAGAAGTATTAATACCTTCCAAAACATGTACTAAATTGATCTTTTACATGGCTTGGTGGCAATTAAAATCCAATATACTTTTGCAATTATACTTGATGATAATTATAATTATTTCAAATGTTTCACAAAAACGATGTATTAATTTTATCCTCCTTTTTGTCTCTCTCAACAGCATTCACAGGAACAATGTCAACTCAAAGGAAAAATTCATTATCATAATGTTTCCATTTGGTTTATTAAAGCACTGGAAATTCAATATATGAAGGTGGAAAAAAGTCATCAGGAAAAACATTTTACACACTTGGATAAAGAGGAACAGAAAGATTGTTAAAGATGACGATGAGCAGAGATGAAGATAAATGATGAAGCAAGCCAGTGAAATAGGAAAAGGAAAGAGATTCTCTGTAGATACAAGATGCTCTAACCTTGATTCACTTGAAAAATGGTAGAAGAAAATTCAATTTTAATCTGAATACCTTGAGAATCAGTAAATTATTTTGTTTCCATTTCAATGTCTTTTTGGCTGGCAATAATAAAAGGACAAAAAATGCGAACAAGATCATCATGTTGATTCTTTTTCCTGTTCACTTTCATCTTCATCTTCATCACATACTATTCACTGAGCTAAAAAGATTGTGTTCATTCTCAGTTTTATTCCTGCTGCAAACCCTGTAGTTTAATCTTCATCACTTCATCATCATAACTCTCAAACATGGGATCACATCTTTTTCACTTCTTCCTCCCTTCTCCTGCTTCTACTCTCACTTTTGCTTTAAATCTTTCTATCATTCTTCATCATTCATGATCATGATGATGACTGAACCATCATATCATTATCATCTTTATCCCCAATCATCAATAAGAAAAACCTTCTCTTTTGGTTCCTCCTTACCATATTTGACCAACAAATGCAGCCATCGCCATTTTTGCTTTCATCTTTTCTCTCTTTCACACTCAAGCCTCTTCTATTATCATCATTCTTTCATTTTATTCACCCATCATCATGATCGCAATACGTTGCCAGCATCTTAATATGAGCAAATTGATCCTTAAAATGAGTTATTTGAGAAACGCAAAATAACCATTTAAGCATCAAGAACTCTGTTTTTTCAGCTTTTCTGCTTATTAAATCACTTTTTCTGAGCCTTTCTTGTAATGATCTACTCATGATGTGCCTCATCAACTCACCATTTAATCAATGCTCAATTGTGCTCCTAAACAGACTTACAATTAATAAAAATAAGGATCACTTAGAGTCAACAAAAAATTGATCCAAACCCATTAAAGAGTTAATTTTAACACATCAGTCCCGAAAGTGTATTATCAAATTAACTCTTTTCTAACCATATTTTATCTGTTAAACATCCAACTAACAATTAGATTAAGATTTTGATAGTTCAACGGTGATTGTTATTGATTAAGGTTCAATTCAGTGTCAAATATTAGTTGAAAGCTAACTAGAATCCAGCTTGGATACAATCAATCATCCAATCTTTCAACAAATATTAACCTTTGACAATTTATTTCAATCGAAATCATTAATCAGTCCAATTTTTCCAAACATGATGTATAACAATTTGGATTTCAATGATTAATGCCTTTGCAAGGTACAAAGTTCCGCTCTTTTCCCTTCATAGCACCAACAAAATATCACTTTCAGTGTTTATTCATAATTTTAACCTGAATCTTCAATGAAAATACATTTTCTTTTCCCTTTCCTTTCAACCTTAAGATGAATTTTGTGCTCGACTTAACTTGGTCCAACCTTTAACCAGATTCGCCCTAACATTGTAATGCTAAATATATTAAAATGTATTCCTAACATGATAAATAACATATTCAGTTATCTTCTTTTATTCAATTTTCAGTCAACATTTCAATAATATTAATGGCATAACAGCATTGATACATTATCATGCCAAAAATATGATAATCTCCCAATGTAAGGGGAAAAATAACAAATCAAGAGTTAAACATTCACTGGTTAAACTGGTGATTTAACGCAATTTTGTAGACAATTTGATTTTAGATTAACTTGGATAGATTATACCTGACTTTCATGGTTAAATGTTTTGATTAACAGTTATTATCAGCTTTGTGTGACTTCACAAGAATTATTTTACCTGATTTACGTAAAATGTGGATAATCATAATAAAACTCATGACATTGAATAAAATAATTTAAAGCTTGGATAGATTATGCAATTGAAGGTTGAAGCTTCGATACTAAGAAATTGATCAACGACACTTGATTCAAACTGAGTGGTTCCATGAATTTCATAAATTTTGTGAATTAGAGATGATCTGTAAATGTACTGTAGAAACCGTTCAAAGAAGCACTGAAATGAACCCTAAAAATCGAAGAAATCATAGGTTGGTATCAAATTTATAATAAATCTATTATTGGTTAAACAATCAATTTTGCATTTATTTCCAATTTAAGATAATATATCAGTTATTGATTATTGAATTGAACGTGTCAGCACTCTATGATCCTAGAAATATGTTTCGAACTAAATCAATTACTATTCAAAGGTTGATTTGAATTGTTAAAATGGATTCATTTAAAATAGTTAGTTTACTTTTAAGTATATTTGTGCTTTCAGCCACTGTTAATTGTGACTCAAATGATCCTGATTATGAAGCTACAATTGACCAATTGATTGAATCTCGAGGTTTCAATTATGAGAAACATTACATTGAAACAAAAGATGGATACATTTTAGGTGTTTACCGGTTGATTAACCCATTTGTTGATCAATCAAGTCGCTCAAAACTGAAGCCAATTGTACTTCAACATGGTTTTCTTGGGGTTGGGGCAGACTTTTTAATAAATGCTCCTGGCGGTAATGCGGTTCCTTGTAATAATTCAACTGATAATTCCTCTTTGAGTAAACTAAATTCAACTGAAAACAACAATTTAGGATTCTTATTAGCTAACCTTTGTTATGATGTTTGGATATCAAATTCAAGAGGAAATGGGTATTCACGTAACCACACAACATTGAACCCAGACAAAGGTAAGTTCAATATTCACTTTACCTTAAAAATCACAATAAATCGACAATTTTCTAATTCTATTTATTTGCTTATATTAATAGATGCTGAGTTTTGGAAATACACAATTGATGATTTGATTGCTTACGATACTCCAGCAGTCATTGATTACATACTAAAGCAAACTGGATTCTGTAAGTATCTAAACTAATTCCCTTCAAGAATCTCAATTATAAAAATCTCAATTCCTCTACAGCAAGCTTGGGTTGGATCGGACATTCCCAAGGAACTATGATTATGTTTGGTCTTCTTAGTGAGAAACCTGAGTATTCAGCTAAAGTTAAACCTTTCATTGCATTGGCTCCAGTTTTTTATGTTCAACACATGAAAAAGGCGTTTAAATATGCAGCCAAAATTCCTGGTTTATTATTTCTCGCTCGTACTCGTGGAGGTGAAATATCTAAATCTTCATTAGTAACCAACACAATCAAAAAATTAGCCTGTACAACATGGAATGATGAGATGTGTAATGCCCTGCTTTACCCATTTTTGGGTTATGATATGGATAATGTTAATGTAACACGAGTTCCAATATATTCAACAAAAATCGGTTCAAGTACTTCGCTTTGGAATGCAGTGCATTTCGGGCAAAATATAAATTCTGGTAAATTCCACAAATTCGACTTTGGTAGATTCGGAAATAAACGACGTTACGGACAATCAAAGCCACCTGTTTATCAATTAAGCAAAATTAACTCAACTTCAATTGCTCTTTTATACGCTAAAGGAGATGCTTTGAGTGATCCAGAGGATGTTTCTCAGCTCATCAAAGACATTCAAGGTAAGAATATTAACACAATCAAATTCTGTATTTAATTTAACTAATTTGATCAATTTTCCATCTTCAAACAGTTCCATTGGCTCGAGATCATTGTGTACCTGTACCATCCTGGAATCATTATGACTTTCTTTTTTCGAAAGATGCGTATGAATATATCTATTCAATTGTAACTGAAATCTTGTCTACTTACTGAGATTAAAAATTTTATATTAAATTGAAAATATGACAAATTGTTATTTCGTTTAAGCTATTTGATGTTGAATGTGTTCATGAACAAATAGCAACTTAAGCTTTGAATGAGTTCGCAAGAATTTTTTTGTTTAGTTATTCAATCGCATTTGAAATAGTTTTAGCGAATTCATTTCTATTGACTCATAAAACTCAAATACATTCAATATTGTTTACCATTTGATAGATTTTTTCACTGAGCTTAACTTTTCGATTTAATGTTAAAAATATCATCAGCAAAAAAATATTGAATCAAAATTTGGAAAATATGGGAGTGTTTCATCTGATCTTTACTAGCATCAGAAGAACGAACTGCAATGATAAATGTTGACATCAGAACAATCATAATCGACATGGACTTTGTGATTTTTCTGAGGAAATTTCTATTCAAAAAATTTGAAACATTTCTGAGAAAACCTTAACCTAAACTCCAAAAACGGTTATTGAATGATCAATAGGTAATCCAAATAAGGCAAACCACAATTTACACCGAATTCTGAAAGAATTTTTCTTATTAATTTTGATTCTATAGCAATATAAGATTCTGATTAATTGTTGATCTGCATTATAATTTTTGCCTACTTAAATATGAACGCGGTTGAAGATTTTTTTATTTAACAAATTGTTTTCGTTCAGTAACAAATAATTAAAATGAATTCATTTAAACTAGTTAGTTTACTGTTAAGTATATTTGTGCATTCAGCCACTGTTAATTGTGACTCAAATGACCCTGATTACAAAGCTACTATTGAAGAATTGATCGAATCTCGTGGTTTCAATTATGAGAAACATTACATTGAAACAAAAGATGGTTACATTTTAGGTGTTTATCGTTTAATTAACCCATTTGTTGATCAATCAAGTCGCTCAAAACTGAAGCCAATTGTACTTCAACATGGTTTTCTCGGAGTCGGTTCAGACTTTTTAATAAATGCTCCTGGCGGTAATGCGGTTCCTTGTAATAATTCAACTGATAATTACTCTTTGAGTAAACTCAATTCAACTGAAAACAACAATTTGGGCTTCTTATTAGGCAACCTTTGTTATGATGTTTGGATATCAAATTCAAGAGGAAATGGTTATTCACGTAACCACACAACATTGAATCCAGATATTGATGGAGAGTTTTGGAAATTTTCAATTGATGAATTGATTGCTTACGATACTCCAGCAGTCATTGATTACATACTAAATCAAACTGGATTCTGTAAGTATCTAAAATATTTCCTTTCTATAAAGTAACTTATAAAAAATGTCAATTTCTTTACAGCAAGCTTGGGTTGGATTGGACATTCACAAGGATCAATGGTAATGTTTGGTCTTCTTAGTGAGCGACCTGAATATTCAGTCAAAGTTAAACCTTTCATTGCCTTGGCTCCGGTTTTTTATGTTCAACACATGAAATCATTCGTAAGATTTGCAGCCAAAATTCCTGGTATTTTAAAACTCGGGCGATGGGTTGGAGGCTCATTTTCAGCATCTAACTTAACATATAATATAATGAAAAAGGTGGGTTGCTTTTCAGGGCGTGTGGAGCTTTGTGATCACACTCTTTTCCCATTTGTGGGCTATGACATGGGAAATACAAATACTTCACGAATTGAAGTTTATGCAACAAAATTCGGAACTACTTCTTCTCTTTGGAATCTGGTGCATTTCGGTCAAAATATAAAATCTGGTAACTTTCATAAATTTGACTTTGGTGAAGCCGAAAATGAACGACGTTATGGACAACCAATCCCACCGATCTATCAATTGAGCAAAATAAACTCAACTTCAATCGCTATTTTACACTCGAAAGGTGATGATTTAAGTGATCAAGAGGATGTAACACAGTTAATTAAAGATATGCAAGGTGAGACTGATTCTGAAAAATTAACATTCTCCATTCAGATTACTAATCTTGAATATATTTCCAACAGTTCCGTTACTTCGAAATTATTTGGTTCCTTTACCGTCTTGGAATCATTACGACTTTCTTGTTGCTGAAAATTGCTTCCAGTACATTAATTCAGTCGCCATTGAAATTCTGTCAACCTTTTATTCAATTTAAATCTAAATGGTCTCAGTTTATTGTTGAATTCAGACCTATTTATGTACTTTGTGTAACTTAATAATAAATTCATTTCCCAAAAATATCATCTCTTTGATGCTTTTAAGCAAAGCTTTGCCTTATTCCCTTGTAATCTTGGAGTTAGTCAATAAAGTGGATCGTTCAATTACCCCAGAAACTCTAAAGTAATAACATTGAATTTTCAACGTTGAATCAATCTCAATTGTCTGTGGCTGCTCTGGTACTTGCTGTAAAGCATGAAATATTATGTCTTATTGTCAGTCGGTTAGAATGCATTCAATTGTATTTCAACAATTAAACCTCAAAGTTGACTCATGCTACAAATTATTTTCGCTAATCGCATGTCTTTTGTCTTTGAATTTCTGACTAATTTTCATCAATATCTGTTATTACTGTTTTCAATGTAACTTGATTTGATTCTAAGAACCATCATTAGTCATTTATCGAGATTGATGTAATTTTGAGGTAATTGTTTAGTTAAATGTTGGATATTTTGACCAATTGTTATCGACTTGAACTTCGTGACTTTTCAAAGAAAATTTTCCATCTCGTTATTACAAACACATTTGAAACATTTCTGAAAGTTTAGTGAACATCTGACGGGTATTGTCATATACTTCGATCGAAATCTTCTGACTCATCACATGAATGATTGCAAATGTTTCTCATGAATTGCATTTCAATCATTTATCTGATTCTAGTTAATTGATAAACCTTTATTGTAATTTTTGTTTACTTAAATATGAACTCAGTTGAACACATTTGAACAAATTTCATTTTACAAATCATTTCGTTTAGCATAAATTGTAAAAATGTATTTGCTTAAATTATTGACTTTACTCTTAACTTGTATTTTGCTTTCAGTAACTGTTAATTGTGACACAAATGGTTCGAATTATACCGCTACAATTGAACAATTGATTGAATCTCGTGGTTTCAATTATGAGAAACATTACATTGAAACAAAAGATGGTTACATTTTGGGTGTTTATCGTTTAATTAACCCATTTGTTGATCAATCAAGTCGCTCAACATTGAAGCCAATTGTGCTTCAACATGGTTTTCTCGGAGTTGGATCAGACTTTTTAATCAATGCTCCTGGCGGTAATGCGGTTCCGTGTAATAATTCAGCTGATAATTACTTTTTGAGTAAACTAAACTCAACTGAAAACAACAATTTGGGCTTCTTATTAGCTAACCTTTGCTATGATGCTTGGATATCAAATTCAAGAGGAAATGGTTATTCACGTAACCACACAACATTGAATCCAGACAAAGGTAAATTTAATGTTTCATTTTATCTTAAAAATCGTATTAAATGGACAGTTTTCTAATTCTGTTTCATTCAATATTAGATTCTGAGTTTTGGAAATTCACAATTGATGAATTGATTGCTTACGATACTCCGGCAGTCATTGATTATGTCTTGAATCAAACTGGATTCTGTAAGTATCATAAACCCATTCCCTTCAAGAAAGTAACTGATAAAATGTCATTCGCTATACAGCAAGCTTAGGTTGGATTGGACATTCACAAGGATCAATGGTTATGTTTGGTCTTCTTAGTGAGAAACCTGAGTATTCAGCTAAAGTTGAACCTTTCATTGCATTGGCCCCGGTTTTTTATGTTCAACATCTCGATAGCTCATTAAAATATCTAGTGAAAGTGCCTGGTTTATTATGGGCTGCACGTTATCTTGAAGGTGAACTATCCAAGCCTAAATTGTTAGCGGCAATATCTTACAACTGTGTTACATGGATTGGTGAAAAATGTGAATCTTTGCTTAACTCATTTTTGGGTCTCAGTTTGGCAAACCTAAATTCATACAGTGATAACATCGCAACCAGCACTAGTACATCCCTTTGGAATCTAGTACATTTCGGTCAGAATATAAAATCTGGTAAATTTCATAAATTTGACTTTGGTAAAGCGGAAAATGAAAGACGTTATGGACAGTCAATCCCACCGGTCTATCAATTGAGCAAAATTAACTCAACTTCAATTGCGCTTTTTTACTCTAAAAGTGATATTTTCACTGATCCAGAAGATGTTTCACAGCTCATTAAAGACATTCAAGGTAAGCTTTTTACTTTCTCCCCTTCAAAGCTATTGGTTAATCGATTCATTCTTCCATTTTTTACAGTTCCATTGATTCGAGATTATTGTATAGATTCACCATCATGGGATCATTATGACTATCTGTTTGCAAAAGATTCTTATAAATACATCAATTCGATAATTACTGAAATTTTATCAACTTTTTCAAATTAAAAAAATAAAAAACTTCTCGAGCTTCAAGTACAAGAACTGTAGCTATAAATGGAAACCTTTATGAATATCATTCTGAATAAACCATCTAATGTGACTTCTTTTGAAAATTCAATCAGAATTTTGTTGAATTTTGTCATCTTCTAGAATACCTTCTCCAAGTAATTTTATAAACTAGATTCTAGGATCTCTTGAAATAGTTTTAATCTATCAATGTTCAAATTTGAGTTCAGAGCAGAAAATGAATTTATGAACAAAATTGCATTCAACTTGCAGTGGCACTCTGCAATTCAATTGCACCTGAATTTGTGTTCTAGGAAAAACTCGAGATTAATGAAAAACTTTGGATTTACTGTAAATCATCACATTTGATTGGTGTATCATGAAATCTGAGTTATTTGAAACATTTATTATCTTCAATTTTTTATTCGAAAATTGTCTCCAGAAAGTGCAATTTTTTTCGATTGAACAACGTTTGGAATCGAGAACTTTCTTTCAGCATTTATCAATTGCATGAGTTTCAAGCAAACTAGCAAACAAGCAAGCTTGTCAATGGTAAAGGACCTTCATTGCAACCATCATCTAATCGAGTTATATTTTTTTCAAAAGGACGAAACAACCTACAGAAATGCCGATCAATGCCAAATTGAATTTCAGGATTCATCACACTTTAGCTGCTAATAAAAATGTCAAGTCTTTTGAAGTTTCGAGTTGTTCTTACAGCAGGCTAACCTAAAACTCATTAGCTTTTATTTGATGGCAAAATTACAAAACAAAAGAGCTTGTGAACCTGATTCCGAGTTTCATCTATCATTAGATAATTTTTACCATTTTGATCAACCTAGTTAGATTAGATCCATATTTAATGTTTTGCTGTTATTTAACGATTGGAGGTTCATAAGCTGTACAAGTCTGTTTCCATCACATGTTAAGAGATCAAAGTGTATCATTTGCTAAATTGAATCATTGGATATTAAATGATTTTAGATTAGCTTTTGGCTATTATTTGAAAAATATCATCGGTGCACCATGAGGTTGAGTAAAAATATTAACTTGTTCGCTAGCAATTGATTGTAAATAATGAAATTAAACAGCAAATTTGTTTAAAATTTATATTTTCGGTCGACATTTCAATGTATATTTTAATGGAAATATAACCAATATATGACCAAATTAACTCATCCAATGAACATAAATAAAAATTTGTGAACTTTGAATCAAATTTAGGATTTTACCTACATAATGATTGAATCTGTTAGATATCTGAAAAAGATGAACCAGATTATTATTGAATAATGATTGATAAATAAATGAAACAATATCTGATATTGATTATTATTGGTTTCAAACAACTCTTTAAAAACATTGAAATTTGCATTCAGTTGACAGACCAATTTTATTTTGAGTCAGTAAAATGAATTCATTTCAATGTTTTAGTTTACTTTTAACAATTTTTGTGCTTTTAGTGAATGTTAACTGTGATTTAGATGAACCTGGTTATGAACCTGATTATGAAGCCATTATTAAACAATTGTTAGACCCTCAATATTTGAGTAATGAAACTGTTGGATATCATTCAAATGATCCTGACTTTGACGCTTCAATTGAGCAATTGATCGAATCTCGTGGTTTCAATTATGAAAAACATTACATTGAAACAAAAGATGGTTACATTTTAGGTGTTTACCGTTTAATTAACCCATTTGTTGATCAATCAAGTCGCTCAACATTGAAGCCAATTGTGCTTCAACATGGTTTTCTTGGAGTTGGTTCAGACTTTTTAATCAATGCTCCTGGCGGTAATGCAGTTCCGTGCAATAATTCAACTGATAATTACTTTTTGAATAAACTCAATTCAACTGAAAACAACGATCTAGGCTTCTTATTAGCTAACCTTTGTTATGATGTTTGGTTATCAAATTCAAGAGGAAATGGTTATTCACGTAACCACACAACATTGAACCCAGACAAAGGTAAGTTCAATATTCACTTTATCTTAAAAATGAACTTATTAGATCGACAATTTTCTGATTTTATTTCATATTATAGATGCTGAGTTTTGGAAATTCACAATTGATGATCTGATTGCTTACGATACTCCAGCAATCATTGATTACGTATTAAATCAAACTGGATTCTGTAAGTATCTAAACCAATTCCCTTCAATAAAGTAACTCATAAAATGTCAATTCCTCTACAGCAAGTTTGGGTTGGATTGGACATTCCCAAGGAACTATGATTATGTTTGGTCTTCTCAGTGAGAAACCTGAATATTCTGCTAAAGTTAAACCTTTCATTGCATTGGCTCCAGTTTTTTATGTTCAACATTTGAAAATGATTCTGAAATTCGCTGCTAAAATTCCTTTCATATTATCAATTCTAAAAGACAAAGGAGGCGAATTGGCCGACAATATTCCAATAATGACAATACTTGATAAGTTAACTTGTCCTAAATGGGATAAAGTATTGTGCTTTCGCATACTCTATCCAATCTTGGGTTACAATTTAGAGCAAATAAACAAAACTCGCGTCGACGTTTATCGAAATCAAAAAGGCTCTGGTTCTTCCCTTTGGAATCTGGTTCATTTTGGTCAAAATGTAAATTCTGGTGATTTCCATAAATTTGACTTCGGCAAAGAGGAAAACCAGCGTCGTTATGGCCAACCAAAGCCACCCGTTTATAAACTAGATGACATAAACTCGACATCAATTGCCCTTTTATACTCAAAAAGCGATGATTTAGGTGACCAAAAGGATGTTGAAAAACTCATCGAAACACTTAAAGGTAATAGTAATTGAAGTCAATTTTGCAAAACTAATTTTCTTCTCTCAATACAGTTCCATTGCTTCGAGATCATTTCATACCTTTACCATCATGGAATCACTTTGACTTTCTCTATGCCAAGGATTCCTATCAATATGTAAACTCAGTTGTTATCGGTATTTTATCATCACTTGATTGGCAATAAAATGATCTCAACCTTTCAGCGATTTGTTTCTATCATTTTTGTGATTCACTTTTCATGTTTAAAAAGGAAAATGATTTCATGCAAATTAAATTGGTCTTTTAACCAAGCAAACAATTAAACTAATTGTTCTAATCATCTTTCATTGTCACAAATTGCCTGGAGTTTTGCTTTTCCAGTCTTTCAGTTTCTTCATTGTTCCATCAACTACAGAATTACATGGAAAGATGATTTACTTGGAACATGTTTAATGGCTTGAAATTGAGGTTATCTGTGGTTTCAGTCTGAAATAAATTCTTCCATGGTTCAGTTGATAATCATTCTTAGATTGCTTTCAACTTGATTGTTTGTTTTGCCAAGCCTCAGAAAAGAAAACAAAAAATGCAGTTTAAATCATTTCAAACTTTTCCATTTTCTTCAATCAATTTAAACCCAAATTCAGTTGGTAAATTGAATCTAACCGATTGTCAAATTAAAAATGTAATTCAATGATTTTCCTATTTGAAGCTGATTAAACTCACAATCGACATTCTGAATGTTTGCTAATGATGAGAGTAAATTTTTTTGGCTTTTCTTTTCATTTTCATGTTCATTAGCGTTTCATTTGATGTCAACCTGAACAATTGATTGAACACGCACAAATATAATGCGTAACCATAATAATAGTGAAAATTGATAGCAACAAATGAAACCAACTAAATAGAAGCAATTGTAAGGTTTTCTTTCACTTTCCTTGGATCACACTTTTCATGATGAAAACTCAAATTTCCTGGACCTTCTTCTGACTTTGCTTTCTTGTCCACTTTACTTTCTACTCAGGTTTACTGTGATTATCAAGCTTGAATGGACATTAATTTGGACACCAAGAAATGTCAATGTTTTGATAAAGGCAACAGTTTTATGTTAACTTAGAGGCACTTTTTGTTTCTCTGTCCATCTTTAGCTTTTCAGAGTTTATTGACAGACCTTTAGGCCTGACAATGGAAGTTCAATTGGATCCTTTCAACTGAACAAAATCAATTAGAATCGTGGAACAAAGAAAAACAGGCAAAATATTCTTCTTTCATCTGATCAATACACCTTCATCATCACGATATCATACAATTCAGGGCAACAATCAAAAACACGTTTAAGGTAAAAGTTGATTTCAATGTTAATGCCAATGCGCTTCAAGCTTCAGCCAATTTCAACAGATAATTTCATTCACTTCCCTTACTTAACATGATTGAAACAATGTTTCAATTTCAGTCTATTATTCAAATTTTCAAAATAGTTATCGATTTAAAAGCGCATTTTACCTTAATTTAAGAGCAGAAACTGTATTTTTTGCTAGCATTTTCTTCTTCCTCACAATTTACGTTTGATTACGCTAATTGCCTTTACTGTTGATTAATTTATAGCCACACCAATAATAGTAATTAGTGATTAAAGAGACACACAGAGTAATTGAAATAATGAGAGTAAATGTCGGTTTTGATTAGACTTTTCCTGGCTAAGAGTACACAATTAGTGCTCCAATCAGTGTTTATAATCAATTTAGTGGTAAATGCTTACTTAAATTAAAAGACCATAATTCTGAAGATGAACCTCTCAAATCCTGGTAACCTCCATAGATATGCATTGAGTCTTTATATAACACAGCTGAATGGGCTCGACGTCCATAGGGTTGCATTACAGTTCCTGGTTTACATCGAGTTGGACCTGAATTTCCTTGACGCCAGATACATGTACCTGGTAAGAGCAGTAAAAAAGAGTAACAATTAATCTCAACAATTTATCTTGTAATTAGATTTGACAGTTTTGGGTAAAATTATGTATCCTTTCATTACCAGAATTGTACAATTCAAAGGCAAAAACAGACTTTAGGTAAACTCACAACTGTTCATGAATCAACCATAAATACTGTAATTATATTTATAGCCATTTGTCATGATAAACTCAATTTATTCATTTAGACTCAAGTCAATTGATAACTTTAATTGCAGTTGTATATCTTAACAATCATTAAGCCCATTAATGATGGTTACAATTTACACTCAATGGCTTTTGATTAGGGTTTACCAATGACTTTTTTGGTACTTTGGGTGAGTCTGGTTATTGACTGGTGAAAACGCCTCTGACAAATATCTGGTAATGATAAGTTGACCAATAAGTGATTATTTCTGGTTCAACATTAACCAGTTTTTAATCTGGTTATTTTCTGGTGACTTAAAGATTATCTTTTAAACTTGATTGGATGAATTAGATTGGATTTAGTTTGGGTTAATCAAAGCCTTGAATGATTAATAAGGTAAAAAATGATGAGGTTAACAGGGAGTTGAAGTTGGGTTTATCAATCAAGAAAAACTGGTAAAAATGTTGACCTGTTTTGGATTGAATTTTAAAGATGATGAAAAGGCTGATGAAAAGGGAAGAAAATGGGTGAAAAATGAATCGATAATAAATGCAATGATAAATTGAGTTAGTCTTTCAAGATAATTCAAGACAAAAATGGTTTTCCTTTTTCACTTTTCTGTTAAATTGTCATTCAACATTTTATCTGAATTTTCCATCATGACTGATCAAACATTTGAAGCTAAACTCATGATTATTTGAGTGAAATGAGAATGAAATTGAATTAAAAAGGCAATCAATTTTGTTGATCAACTTTCATTATTGGTTCATCTTCATAGACATTGATGTGATAACATGATTACTGTTCCTTAATTGGTATCAATTTCAACAATCATGTTAATACTATTCTCATTGTTTCTCGTATTATTGTACATGATGGTAATGGTGAAGACAATGAAAAGCATTAACTTGGTAAACAGGAAAATAAAACAATAAGCAAGTTAAATGAATACATATTATAGTAAATTAGATTTGCAGTTGAATCATGAATTATCTTGAATCTTTTTCAGCTTAAACATTTCTAATGTCAACCAAATAATTCCCAATTGATTTAAGAAAGAGCTTCCCTCAAAGATGTTATCATCATTTTACTAACCCATAATGTTGTCTTTTTGTCCAACAATGTTTGTTTCAAGTAAATTGATGCTTGATTCAGGAATTACATCGGAAATCATGTATTTATAATTTAAATAAATTTAAATGGAGCCATCTTTACAATGTATCTTCCTAAGGTTTAATCAGTTTAACCATATTAAGCTTTACAATTTACTTATCCTTCAAAAAATGTATCTATTTAACCTAAACTGTTTGTCTGGTAATGATTTTAACCCTTGACTATTAGTCTCCATTTGTTTTCACATTTTGACACCAGATTGGGTAATCTTTTGTCTTCATTGAAACCATTACTCACTTTTTTCATGCTTTCTGTTTATCTCTATTATTTCACCCATTTTCACCATTTCTAATTGTTTTATTCATGATAATCATTTGATTTGTATTTAGTTGATGTTATCCATTTTGGTTATTCAATTGGTTTGTGTTTACTTTCATTATTTAATATGAAAATGGCTACAACGAGTCAAGTATCAAGTAATGTACATTTTTTTTGTTTTCTACCCTTTTTTGCATGTCTCTTTTTAAAAGTCATTTGAATTATTATGGTTTTGATCACTTTTGTATTTCTACAATTGTTATTGTAATTTAGTGTATCCATTATTGTGCTCTACATTGTTGGATTAATTTACATTTTGCAGCCATAATTAATAATTTATTAGATCCCATGATAGCACACTTTACTGACTTGGTAATATTATCAAGTCTACCGGGTTTTGTTGTATTACCACTTTATTACCTTACTCTGTTTTTTTACTTTGTTATTTGTATCATCATTATCTCTATCAAGTTTAACCATTGAATCAAATGAATTTCACAGGAAAAACAGTTTAAATTCATTTTGTAACTTTACTAGTCCTAAAATCGATGCAAATATTAAATAAAAACAGACGAGACATGAAAAATCATTGTATTTGTAACTAATAACCTGATGTGTCTACTTTTTTACAGGCTAACAAATCATTACTAGACCAATGGCGCTGTTTAATCGTGCTGGGTCAGAAGTTATGAGTTTAATATACCAAAGATACATGAGGTGATTGGTAATATTGATGCAACTTTCTCTATTAAAGATTGTTAAATCAACATTAAAGATATTTTATATCTGATTTCAGGCTCTTCATTCCGAATTAATCTTCCACTTTGCGCAAACATACGAAAAGTTGAATAATGATAGGCAGTAATTTTGTCAATGGTTATATTTCGCAAAGAAAACCAATTATGGATTGATCTTTCGTTAAAGGTTGGCTTACCTAAATCAAGTATCCAAAGCGGAGTCTCAGTTGAGCTCGAGAAACCAACTTCACCTCCAAAAACAAACAATTTATCCTTTGGCAATCATGAAAGGAAGAAAAGATAATTTTATCAATTTTAATGAACAGCAAGCCAATGGCAATGATGAACTTACCTTCCAAGGAATAATTGTATGCTCCTGAAGATTTGGAGGCTGATCACCCCAACATTTCACTTCTTCCCAAGTATTTTGACCTGATGTAAGAATGTAAATGTCAATGTTATCTCATCACAATAATTGCAATAATCAGAGAGGATAAGGATTAAAGTAGGATCAATTTATCTGCTGTCTAAGGGATTACTAATCAGTACGTGCATTAAACAAAAGGTATTGAATGGTTATTAACACCTGATCGGTTTCCTGGTTCACCCGATCGATTGATTTCTGATAAATGGTTATCATTTAGGTAGAACTGATCAATTAATGGTTGAAACAAAAGAAGTGTGGTGTTAAATGATCTAAATAATCGTTCAATCAACTAAATTAGCTATATTTACCTGGATCAAGTCTCCAGAGATCTTTCAAAGGTCTATTACCACTTCGACCTCCCATAAGGTAGATATGTCCGTCAGGAGTTGTACACATTGCATGTTTACACCTTGAATTAGGTGCTTCTTCACAATTTTCAAAATCATCTTCTAATACTCTACCTATTGTTTGAACTGGAGACCACATAATTAGTTAGCTGTTATTGTACAATAACAACTCTAACTGTTACAAGGTGCTCGTTGATTACACTAATCCCATTTAGTTTATTAATGATGAATTGTCAAACATTTTTGGTAAAATAAACGCACATTATTTGAATTTGTGTAAAAAAATATGCAAAAAAGTTGGTTAACTTGAAAATCCCACCTCATTGGATAAAAGACACACACACAGAGACACAATGTTGACAGTAAATTGTTTGTTTCTCAACATCGGCGAATGAATCACATTGGGATATCCAGATGATGAACACACATATGTAAGGAAATTCTGATTACATCAGATTGAAATGTTTTTATTCCCTCACAACCTTCAGTCAAAGGGAAAGTAGCTGGAAACCCTGACATATCAGGATGGCGCATGAAAATAAAAGGATAAGTGCATGAGCATTGTTGAAACCTTGATGAAGATGACGATGATTATGAGAAAAGAGAGCAAAAAATATCATGTAGTTTTATTATTGATCTGATGGATCGATATTTCCATCCAATTGTAATTCCTACTATAACAAAGGTTTGCTCAAACTCTGAACCATTGATCCAACATCATGAATCATGATGTCTTCGTTTTCTTCTTATCTCCTTCTTTTTCATACTACATGTACTCAATGTACATTTTTTCAATTAGAAATTAATTCAAAACAAAAACGTGTTCATCAACTATCAAAAATTATAATAATGTCTACATTCAGAGCTTTAAAATTATTGATACAACTCTTAATTATTGTCATCGTATTTTCAGAGTATGAGTCTATTAAATAGTAATAAATCTCATAGCTACATACAATATATTCACCTGTCTATTTACCAATCATTAACGATGAGATTCATATGATGAATTTATGTGTCAACAGTAAATTGTCAATAGGACATGAAATGGTTTACTGTTTAATTTTTGGATTTACTCACAACTAGATCAGTTGTAGTTGATCCAAGAGAGTTTAAAATACACAATTTTCTAATTCCATAATTTCATAAGGAATAAGTTGACTATGATTTGATTACCTAAATAGATATACAACAGACAAGGATAAGGTTTGAAGGCTTTTAGTTATATGTTGATCCTGGTTTACAATGAGAAATGGTGGAAATGAGAGCAATTGTTATCTCTAAAATGAGCAATTAAACTGATTGAAAATATTCAAAGCTGATGAATTTAATTCAAATAAAAATATGATTTGAAAAAAAAACGGTTAAAAACACCAAGACTTGGAGCGCCATCTTGATGATTTTATTTAACCTTTTATGGATTTTATTCAATTGCCATTGACCTGATCATGTGTTGAAGCTTGCTTAAAACTCAATCATTGCTTGAATTAAAATAAATTATAACCTTCAAATGAAAATCAAGGTTAGTACCAACTATTGAGTTTGAATTAAGTAAACCTAAATCATCAATTGACGTATAAAGTGACCTCTTACTGAAGAGTGAACAAAAGCTCTTATTGTTTTTAAGAACAAATAGCAATTATCATAAAAGTAAAACAATAATACATTTTACATGTTTACTGTTTGATACCAAAGATGATGATTACGATTGCGATGATGAAGATGTTGGTGATGACGCTTATTAAGCTATTATTGTTTCCAGTTTACCATTTGATTGTTGAGAACATCTAAGGTAATTCAGTTTTTATCACAAAGTCTAAATGATCTTGTTGATTTAAGTATCTACCTTTTTTTTGACGCCAATTGTGACCCCAATTATATTTATAAATATATATTTTTTAATTTGCTTTTTACTTGAATCTTGAGGTTGATTAATCTGTTTCAATGATGAAGATACACAATTGCGATAATTATGTTTGCAAATATAAATCTCATCTTGGATTGATATCAACAAAATGTGAATGTTGTTTTGACTAAAATGTCATAACAGACAGCAATTTGTTTCAATTATTTACACATTTTTCAATTAGACGTCATAGTCAACCATGTTTTCATGATTTTAAAGTAAGATGTTGAAAAAATTCAGCATTTATCTGTAAACATTTATTGTTATCAGAGGTAAAGTTCATCAACCAGAAAAAACAAACAAATTACTAATGATAGAGGGTAAACATCAAGTTGCACCTAAACTCTGGTTTGGGTAAACATTTGGGTTTTTGTCTTTTGTTAACTTGACTGCTTATTACATTGCAATAACAATGAGCAAATGATTAGTCAAAAGGGTTAACTTGTAAAAATGTAACCAAGCAAGTCAGACGATGTAAGATGGCAACCAGAGGCTGCAAAGTTGCCTTATGATTGATTGAACTGATACAATCGTTATTTAACTAATTAGTTTGACGTAAATGAACAGCTAAGACATTTTAAAGTTAAATGTTAACTTGTCAACTATTGATAATCACCGATGATTAACAATTTCAAAGCAATGAATACAATCAACTGAAACAACTAATTGAAGTTGCATTGACTGTGTGCGTAACTCGAGTTCACTTTACAAGCTTTTTTTCCCAACTCATTGATTCTTATCTCTAATGAACCATTCGGCTGATTAGTTAAATTGTATTCAAGGGTCAGTAAAATGGTTGTTAATTGTTCACTTAAAGATCAATTTGAATATCTTAGGTCAACTGGCTTTAGTTAACCCAATGTAAGGACAAACAAAATGGAAGCATTTTTTCAATATCTTTTGGGTTCTCTTTACGTTAACTAATATAATTGAAAATGAAAACAAAAGATTTTTCATCAATTTACTTGCCACTTCTCTTTCTCTCTCTTTCTCACTCTGTCTAAATTATCTTCTCTTTCTTTCAATCCCTGTTTTGTCACCCATTTTAACTGTCTACATTTGCTTGTCATCATCATAAAATCATCATTCTCATCATCCATCCCCTTGGTAACATGCTCAACAGCAGCTTCCATAGTGAGTGAACATTATCAGTTATCAGTAACTGTGGTTCTTTAATTTCTGATGTGTTTTTTTTCTTCCTTTGAGTGTTGATGTATTTTTATTTATAAATACAGATATTAAATGTCATCTTAATTCAGTTTTCAACACAACCTCGAAATAATAGTTATTAATAACCAACTTTATACTTAACCAACAATCTACCTTGTTAATTTAATTACAGTTTTGGTCTTCTTCTGCTTCTACTGTTTTCACTTTTTTGAAGCTTTCTCTCTTCAATACTTAAATTAATTGTCCTAACCTCAACATTTTTTGATTCTTTTTGCTATTACAATTGCAATAATTTGATTTTATAATTCTGGTTTATCAACAGTGCTGGATATTTCAATAATTTTGTTTTCGAATTGTGAATCTTTCTCGTTTTACTCTTGTGTTTGATATAAACGAGACCAACTTTACATTCCATTCACAGAAGCTCAATTGATTATTTACCTGTCTACGTTTATTTTGCCAACCGTCTCTTTCATTGTCAAGGTTCCTCTGGTTATTTGGATTCATTACCTTTTGTCCTCTTTGACTCACTCTGGTTGTCTTACGCTTCTTTTTCCTCTGACTGGTTTTCTGGTTCAAACTGGTTAATCCAGGAATCAATACTATTTATTTTTGGTAAATCAACGAAACTCGCTTATTTCAATCAAAGCTTTTGGACAAAATTATCATTTAAAAATATTATGGCCACTGTTACCATGTCACAAGCTCATTCAAATTACTCGACAACCAGTTCATCAAACCAGCCAAATTACAATGAAAATGATTTATCATCAAAATTTGGTCGTATCAAGTTCTCAGATGGACCAACCCTCATTGTTTGTGACATTGACAATGATGGATGTAATAATGCTTTGAAAAGATCAAATGAAGATGGTGCAATGATGATGATGATTACAGCATCAACATCCAAAACAGCAGCAGCTAAAACACCAGCAACACCAAGTAACATTACCGGTGGAAATGCGTCTACACCATCTTTGAAGGAAGCAATTGAACGGTCACCATCAACATCTTCACTCAGTGTACCAACCATTGATGTGGATGAGAAAAGGCCACCTCTTCCAGACGAAACCATGATGATTGACGATGCACTATGAACCAACGATTCATACCAACTCAAAATACGATGAAAAACAACATTGTGATAACCATTTTTTTCTCTTCTTTTTCTTTCTTTCTTCCTTTTCCTTGTATTCATGAAAGAAGCAAAACACGTATAAATATGTCTCCAGGAAATGAGCAACTTGAATCAACACCAATGAAATGTTTAATCAGAAACATTTCTCTCAATCTCTTAATTGTTCATTTTCAGTTCATAGTCCGAGCCAAAATTGATTTACTTGCAAATTATAGATCAATTGTTTTGCTGCATTCATCCTCCTTTTTTTTGTATCACCAGCAAATTGTCAAATTAACTCATTTTTCTGGTTTCCTAACAAATCTATTTTTCTCTTGATTCTGTCCCACTCTGGGTTTCAGTAAACCTTTAAGGTGCTCTTGTAATCATTCTCATGGCTATTATTATCATTATCATCATGTTGTTAATCAACTATTTGTACAAATGCTAATTCACTTGCTGATAATGCGTTGAAGCAACACACAGATGTAATAGATTTTACAATGTAATTTCGCAAGTTAGTAAATTAAGACAATATTGTATACTTTCTCGTCATCATTTTAGATAATGTGAAAGTCATTACTTAATTGTAGACCTAATTTAGGTGAAGTGTTTTCTTAAATTCACATATAAATATATAAATTAATATACATTCATAATGTTATCCTAAATTGATCAGTAAACCTAATTTCTTTGGGATAACCTTTTTTCAGTAAAAACAAAAAGCGAAATGTATTAGATTATTCTTGCACAAGGCAACTTGTTCTTGTAATTGAAATAAATTTATTGGAATTTTGGTGAAAAAACACACAATTGAATCTCTTTTCTTTCCAATTCTCCAGATTAACAGTGTTTAACCATTACCAGTTTTTGGTTGATTGACCTAACCAAAGATTCGAAGTCTCAAGAGCTCAATGACAATGGATGATTAAATTAACCAATTCTCAGTGAATTATCCTCCACAATTACAATCCTACAACAATAATGAAGTCTGTCTACCTTCAAATCTGGGTGGATTCTTGATTTATAAATCATTAGCATAACCGATTAATGACCTTGCAAGTGTTCATCAAAAACCAATATTATTATTAATGAAAACCATCATCATCGCCATTATCATAGTTAATGATAAGTTTACAAGTGAAGTCACTAGATTTGATTAACTTGAAAAGGGATTAAGAAATTTCATCGCCAAGGTTCATTATCTATTATTTGAATGTTAATCAAGATCCGTTGAAATATGGTTTGAAGAAGAAGAAGACAAAAATCTGAATCATTTACAGTAAATTTCATGATGAACGAGATGATTGTTGGGATGAAGATGAGTAAAACTAAAAGACTGATTGATAGTTTTTACGTCAACTGAAATGATGCTAATCTAAAATAAACTTTTGACGTTAATTCTTACCCTTTTTTTCATCTCATAAATTGCTTCAACACACACTTTTTTGGTGAAGCACAATTTTACAAAAGGAAAGATAAAAACTATCAACTAATTAGCAATTAACTTCAGGTGTTTCCCTTTCAACATTCAATTTAATTTACTTCCTAACAATGAATTTCGGTTGTTGGTTGATTTTAGGTTCAATTTGATCGACCATTTTTTTCAATAATCACGTTCATGAAGGGATTAATTGATTAACATATTTCAACTCTGATTCTGACCAAGGTAGCTCAACCTTCAATTGGTTCATGGTCAATGTCATCTTCATTTGTCAATTCATTTGTCCATTTTATCATCCTATCAAGTAGCAACTTGGTTTAGCATAACAATTACATTTATCAAGGAGATTATTGCTGAGTTTTCTGCCATCTCATCCATTTCAGTGTATCAACACTTCTCAGGAAAATGTTTATCCATAAATTTAATACTAACCATTAATACTGATGAAATAAATCATTGGGAAAAAATAAAACACTTTCTCGGTTAGGATAAAAATAGTTGAAGACAGTAATTTGCTGAGATCAATTACTTTAACTGAATTTGCTATGAAAGTGCGACAATTTGATCAAAGTAAATTTCAAGAAATTAATGAAAGCGATTGATTACGTCAGTAAAATTGTTTTCTCACTGGATTAACAATTAGAAGAGTTTGACATGCAAAGATTGTTAGTTGAATTTTTTGATGATATTCATTTGAACAGCTCGGATTCGTAATCAACAATGATAGTTTAATTGGATTTAACTGGATTTACTTCTAAAATTGAAAAAAAGGCAAACAAACTAACACACAATTAAAGCTGATTGAAGGACTGACATAAATACAAATGAAATGATAGAAATGAACAAAATTATTACAATAAATAATCAGATGGAAAAAAACAGAGCAAAAAAGAAACAGAAAAATAACTACATTATTTTCACTATTTATAAATGAGGTTCATAATTGACAGGCAAATGTTATCGATCAATTATTGTAAGATGATGAAGATTTGATAATGATTTGATACAGGATTGAATGAGCGTTAAATTGTTTAAAAAATGGTCGTCCCATAGATGGCCAGTTTGCTTGACTGTTATATCATTATTATTATCACCATAATTATTTTGTAGGCAACAATATTTCAAAATGATTAAACTGGATAATTGTAATTTTATAACAGATGCAGGTTTTATCAAGAACATTATAACAAATGAAATTTGTGTTGATAGCTGGTCCATGAAGATTGCCCTTCGTTGATACTTAAAATTCAGTTTGTTCACGGATTGGACTTTTCTAGGACAAGGTTATCCAAAAACAGGTTCAGCAAAAAAGTTCACTTTGATCTGTCCTAAATAGTCTCATCAATTTAGCGGTTCATTTCGGAAGTTACAATTTTCATCAAAATAGTGAAACGAGTCAGCCAACTTGAATCATCTGCAATCAAATTTGACGATTTGTATTTTACACAAAGAGGTTGGATTTACTTTTTTTAATGATCGCTTGATTTTTCATGTTATCAGGTTGAATGTTGCTGGTGATGTTGAATTGATAGGTAAAGAAATTTATTCACAAATTGATCCAATAACTGGTGACTTTGTTTACTTTCTGTTTTTTGTCCACATCGCTCTTAATAAATGCTGTTGATGCATCAGATGGATGTTAATGATAGGAGTTGAGTGCTTTCTTTTCATGTAAGTTGATATGATGAATAGAATGGAGTTGCTCATTCTTCCCTAGTCTCGGTTTGGATGA